ATAATTTGTATGAGAAAATTTCTGTTAGACTTTTATTTTGAAAGAACTTGTTATTGTAAATTTTTTACACAAAAATCCATGGGTACCCATGAACCCGCGGATACCCAGCGGGTTGGGTTTAAGTTTTTCAAACCCAACGGGTTTTATCCCGTATTTTTTTGGCGGATAAACCCATGGGTTTGGATTTGGGTTTGGCAAAACCCGCCCCAACCCGACCTATTGTCATCCATACCTGCAAGGAACAACTCAGTCGGCAAACCATTAAGAAAGGTTAGCATACTTGGTTTTTCTCTCTCAACCCCACCTCTTAAGTTCTACTTAAGAGGTATTTCCCAAGATAGTCTTCCACTTCTTTCCTGTATAGCGTCGTAAAGTCGGCAATTCAACAATTAAGCAACGACAGCTACTCTCGGGTACTCCTCAGCAAGCAGTCGACCTTTTGTCCTGACATCATGCCAAAACGCTGGATTTTATCCCGCCCGTGGCTCTACATAAGCAAATTTTCAGAATACTTTCTTCCTTTTCATTATTTGGGACCATGGGCTGCAACCGACCGCTCCTTTTAATTCACCTAGCATCCATTCATTTGATTCATTCGGGAACTTTGTCGTGATCATTTCTCTCCACCATGCATTCCTCTTGGCCCCAAACCTCCACCACCATTTAATGAGAAGTGTTTGATTTCTTGTTCTCATATATGTGATGCCAAGACCCCCCAATTTCTTTGGAGTTTTGCAACGCTCCCACGACACAAGATGAATATGCTTTTCAGCTTGTGCACCGGACCATATGAAATCCCTCTGTAGCTTTTCAATCTTTTCAATTGCAGTGCACGGTGCACTGAAAAGTCTACGAAGATACAACAGTTGGCTTGCTAGAACAGCATTGCAGAGTATGATTCTTCCTCCCAGAGACAAGTGTTTTCCTTGCCAACCTTCCAACCGCATTTGCATCTTGTTAAAGATTGGATTCCATATTGCAGTGGACGCGGGCATTGCACCAAGAAGCATGCCGAGGAATATTGGGGGAAAAAATCCCAATTGCAGCTTAGTATCTCTGCCAGCCTCTCAATATTCTCAACTTCTCCTACTAGGAAGAGCCTGCTCTTCTGAAAATTAACCTTCAGGCCTGTAACACTTTGTAACCAGATTAGAGTTGCCATCACATTAAAAGCAATGTCTTCCGTTGCCTGACAGAAGACTATGGCGTCATCTGCATACAAGAGGTGGTTAGTCTCACCATAGCTTCCTCTTTCATCTATACATAAGCCTCTGATATGCCCGGATTCCTACAATTTCTTAAGAAAGAAGGAGAATATGTCCATCACCAAGTTAAAAAGGAATGGAGATAGGGGATTCCCCTACTTCACTCCTCTTTGCATATCAAAGAAGCCCGTTGATTCTCCGTTTACCAGAACTGAGAGCTTTGATGAATAAACTATCCCTCTTTATCTCTTTCTGCATTCTCCTGTTCATCGCCATATTTTTAGCACTTTGTACAGGCACTCCTAGCTAACTGAATCAAATGCTTTCTCTATGTCGAGCTTTAGAGCAATACCTGGTCTTCCACTTTTACTCCTGCTATCGATTAACTCATTCGCCAGCAAACATGCTTCCGTTATTTGCCTCTGCCACCTCCTGTTAGAAACCTTCTTTCTAGGGTTTCTCGGGTATGATCTTTTCAACCGCGATTACTCATAACTAGAGAGATATGAAAGGATTTAGTGGTTGGAATTAGAAATTAGGGATTTAGAGGTAGAGAATGGGAGATTAGAGATTGAATAATAGAATTGGGGAAGATTTGAGAGAATTGGCTGGTGGCCTTTGGGGAAGAGAAGACGAGATTTGAGAGGATTTGAGAGAGATTAGAGTTAAGATACTTTTCTTAATATTCTGGTTGATTGATTCTGAATGAAACCCAAAATATATATTTATAGGAAGTACTGGAATAAACTTGATAAATAACCTAATTCTGCCCAAATACTACTAACCCTAACAATAATTATCGTACCATAAATAAATAGAGAAACCCAAGAAAACTAGGTTTCTAGCAATCTACCATCCTTTAGACCAACCTTGCCCCTCTTCCTTGCTCTTCTCGTGTCACTCGCATGTTAGCTCCTCAGCTTCTTTCATTTTCTTTTCTTCCAATCTGGTTCAGGCACTCGAACCAGTCTAGTTGCCATGATCTTCATGATCTTCTCAACTGCTGCTAATGCCATGTCAGAGGGTTCCATCTTCACTTCCCTGGAGATTTTAAACTCCTCTTCCATTGACATCACACTCCTGTAACTTAAGGAATTTAAAGGTACTTTCTTGTACAAGAATTCATCCTTAAGTACCAACTCATCAAGATCCTTAAACATCCTGCTCTTGTCATGATCAAATTGATTATGGTCACGAGGCCGAGACTCCTCCAATCGACTAAAGTTGGTCATCCTTGGAGCTAGACCTTCAATTTCTCTAATTGCTCCTCCAAATGCTCTTGGGCCATCCTTCCTTGAGAGCCTACTTGAGGACCAAATCTCCTTATTGAAGTATGTTTCCACTAAAAATGAATGTAACCTAGAAGCTCACTTGAGGACTAAGTCTCCCATGAAGAGGAGACTTATATTCATCTCGAGACGCATTTAATCATTTAATGAACGACCCATTCTGCTGGTCTACCAATCCCCAAACGAGCCCAGGTGGTCTTTCTTCTCTTGCCAACCCGCGGCCCAAACTTTGCTGATCTTGACCCACGAAATTACTCATCCAAGCTGACTCTTCGGGATTGACGGCCCATTGGGTTCGGGCCATCAAAGCGGCCTGCTATTGTGAGGCTCTAGTAGCTCGCCTCAACCGAGATAGCTTAGCTCCCAGCTTGCTCCACGGATCGGATCCACCCCAGACTAGCCTGATCTTTACCGAGTCTTGCTATGGCCTGTCAAGGCTTGTAACCCAGTTCCTTTCCTTTGGTCCAATTCCTCTGGTCGCTACACCATCCAGCGGCCCAAGGAAGACGAGCGTTGGCGTGGAATAGAAGAACCACATCCCTCCTTCATCTTAGATTCCTTCTCCACCGGCACCTCGCTTCATTCTCTAGTGCAAAGATTTTCAGGTGGCTGGGAGGCAGGTTCGATCAGACCCTTCTTGTCTACGGCCTCCTCAGATCGTTGACCATTGGTTCGTTAGAGAAATACCCGCAACCCTTCTTCGTCTCACCTAACAACAATTCTTTCACCTTTTTCTTTGGCGATTGGGGCTTGCCATCAACCCACGTCTCCATCTCCCTCAATTCCGTCTCAAAGGAACCTGTCGTAGGTCGCGACATTTTTCATGCAAGGGAAGGGATACAGTCACTTTCCCTATGGGGTTGTGAGATTCACATCCATGGGCAATTTGGGTATGACAAAAAATAGAATTTATTAATTAATTTTTTTGTATTAATTACACATTGAGAATTAGAAAACCCATATTTTTTAATTTAAATCCTTCAATTAGACTCGTTCCGCCCAAAAAAAAAACACTCCTTTAGTGCGCTAGTGGTACCGATTTTCGTCTAGTGGTACGCTACCACCACCACTGGTACCGCTACCAATGACTAGAGGTACGCTACCACTAGTGCGCTACTAGTTAAAAATCAGTACCACTAGAGACTAACATAAAAAAAACCCAGTTCTAGACTCTGTAAAATCTCAGATCTGGAAAAAAATCAAGTGATGAGGAAAGAAGTAGGCAGGAGAGAGGTCGTTACCTCGCGGCGGCAGGAGCGAGATGGCAGCGACAGAGGGTGTAGGGAGGCAAAGGGTCGCAGGATGGTGGAGGACGCGATGGGAGTGGAGGGAAGCAGAGCGTTGCAGGGTGGTTGCGGAGGCGTTGTCATTGTTGGAGGCAGCGGGAGGTGGAGACGACGACGGCTAGGATTTTGGGTGGGAGAGAAGAGAGGAGGGGAGAGTGGTTTTTTTTTGTTAATAAAGAGGGATTATATAGAAAATGAGAAAGATAGTTATGTGATAAGTTTTTTCGTTTCCAAAATACCAATTGTTTAATACTAACCATCAATTTGAAAAATATAGAAGAGAGATAGGAGAGAGAATGCATCCAATGGTTACAAATTGGGAAGTGAATCTCACATCCCTCTTAGAGGGAAGTGAAGGTATCTCATCCCTTCACGCATTTCGTCTTCCCGATGAAGAACCCCGCGAATCTCCTCTCGATTTACTTCGTGTCGTCGATCTAGGATGTTTGCCTCCATTTCCTTGTTGAACGCCACCACGGCTGGAGTCGATGGCCGTTTGGCTGGAGTCGGTGGCCGTCGTTGCTCGGTCCAACCTTGAAATTATGCCAAAATCTCATATGAGCTGAAGGCGGTGTGGTGCACGATAGTCAACGAGGCTGGTGGCGACGATTAGCCAAGGAGAGAAGTTGCGCCGATGGTAGGCTGCAGCAGGAATGGGGTTTCAAATCCTCCAATAGCAATGAACTACACTCTTTTTTCCGGAATCACCAATTTGCAACGCGATCCGATGTTGAATCTTTCTCTGCATCTTCAACCTGCATCGACCCGTCTTCTCGCAGTTCAGATCATGGTAAAGGAAACCGTACCGGACATCATACCGGATTCCTTTCTGGTATGGTATTTTGTGGTACGACCGTGGTTCAACCGTTTTGTACCGGTAAATACCGTTTTTCACTATTAATAGAGAAATGAAATGCGATAGTATAAAAAATATAATCCATAAAAAAAAGAACCAAATAGAGCATTATACAACCACGGTGACCCATTTTCAACATAGAAAAATAGCAAAATAATATTCTTTTTAATTATTTTCCACATATTGGACGAGAATACGGAGAAATGAAGCTGAATCATAGACCAGGAAACCGGATCATACCGGTCGGTTCAACCGGTCAAACCGGAAAAACCGGCCGACACGGTAAAATCAGCACAATCAGCCCACCGTACCGCTTTTGGTCCAATTTCCGGTTGAACCGGCCGGTACGATCCGGTTTCCTGATCTATGGTTCAGATGGCTTAAGGACCATGTTAAGATTGCCGACAACGGGAAAAACACGTGCGGTTTCAGATGGCTGCCCTTTTGCAGCAGCGTGGGTCTCATCTGTTGCTCTCTCAAATTGGATGTCGATTGAAACAAACATGACTTTACTTGTTTGGGCAATTACAATGGTAGCAGGCGCTGGTGGTGGTGATTGAGTCGCAGCAACAACAATAATGGTCGTACGCTCTACGAAAATCTGTAACTTGCTTGCCACCGTCTCTTCCTTGGCAAGTCGGACAGTAACCCATGAATTAGTTGCGGGGCACGGCGACGCCTTTTCTTTGGCTGTTACCTCGGCTAGTCGTGATGGTAAAATGAAAGCCATGGAGGGTTGTAGCGGAATTGCAACGACCTTGAACTTATCTTTCCTCGTCAATTTTTCTAGCTTCAACATGAAATTCCTTTTGAATTCTCTGATTGAGAGCTCGAAGCTCGATATGGTTTCGATATGGGCGCCTGCAACCATAGATCTGATAGAAACCCTCTTTCTAGGTTCTCTCGATTCATATCTTGGGCACCCTCGATTATTCGTTACAATAGAGAATTAGAGATCGGGAACATAAATTAGGGGTTTAGATAAAAGAATTGGGGATTAGGGATTGAAGAGTAGAATTGGGAAAGAATTGATAGAACATTTAGGAAGAGAGATAGACGAGATTGAGAGGAGAATGATAGATTAAGATTTGAGAGATACTTTATGTAATTTTATTTTTGATTGATTATACGTAAATGCAAATTACGTATTTATATAAAAATATGAAAAAACCTTATAATAATCCTAATTCGACTAAATCTCTACTAACCATAATCATAATTTTCCTACTAAAATTAATAAGAGAGACCCCAAAAGGGCGAGTTTCTAGCAAACCACCCCTCTCGAAAGCGACCTTGTCCTCAAGGTTGCAGTCAACTTTCGTTGTCTTGAAGTTCTACTTTCTTCGTTTCTAGTTGCGCTTAATATCATGGATGAACCCTTCTCTAGAAGCTCCAACGCCCATCGAATCTTCTTCCACCATGTGACACATGACACATTGTCCACAACCAAACAATTCTTCCTCTTCCTTTTCGAAATCCACCAAATTACACTCTTCCTCATGCCCGCTCACCTCTTCAACTTTGCAATTTTTATTGGGATGCTCCGTGCGAGAATTAATGTCAATGAGCTAAAATTCCTTTTTCTTCCCCGTCGCTTAGCCCTCGATTCCTTGGAGGAGGAAACCGTGACCCAACCCAATGTTAAACCTCTTTGTGCTCTTCTTCTTCTCAAGTTTGTTTGGACCTGGCTCCCTTTCAAACCCACCTGTCAACCTCGTGAATCCTTTCTCCTTTTCCTCCAAGTAGGGGCGGAGTCAGGATTTGGAAGGAGGGGCGGAGGGAATTTTTTTTTGTATCATTGGAGAAGCCAAAAAGAAAAAAAATAATATAGCAATAATAAGAAAATCAAATTAGTATTTGAGATAATTAGATTCGTTCAAAGTAGGATTTAATGATAAAAGAAAATTTTATCGTATTATTTTAACTACAAATAAGTTAATAACCAACGAAATCTGTTATCATAACTACAAATGATTTATTACCAAGAAACCAAATCTTATAGAAATATATTACTTCTATAGGAAGAGAAATCAACTCCCATTCTACTCAAGTGGAAACCATAAACTCGTCCAGATAGCTCACAAGCTCAATACTTTGATTTTCACACCTACTGAAAGACATGTATTCCGCTAGAGCCCAAATAGGAAAAAATATTCCTATAAGCGCCATAATGCATCATGCAATTCCTCATGAAAACTCCCATAAGTTCCTGCAATTATTCCTGGAGATTAGTTTAATCCCCATGGAGATGATGATAATGAAAACACTCATTCCCATTTTTCTTATTATGAAAACAAACTAAAACCCTAATGCGTTGAGGTCACCCTACCCACTGACAAAAGTAAGTCTTATTTGTCAAAAACAAATATAACGATAACATGCTCGTACCTGTTGCGGAAAATCACCTATCTCAGTTTGAGAATTGATCAACAACCTGGCAGCAACTTGAAGTGGTATTGGATCTCTCTTTGCCTATTAGATTTAGTTCTCATGAGTCATGATGACAAAAATATATCACTATGACATACTAATACATGATACATGTGAAAAAGAAATGAGAGGTTTTGCCCTCTCATCAGGATCAACCAACCTGACCACCAAGGATTAAACCCATCAATGCAAATGAAGTCTGAATCAAGTTTGATCGGCCGCCAGCCAAAGGAACATACTCCTACATATCATACATTAATGAACCGGAATGGGCGGTTAATTACGATCATCATTAACTAGGTTATATTAACCATTTGTATGTACCAATATGCTATATAGTATCTATACCTTCTTTGGACATGAAAGATAGCTTTCTCCCCATCCTCCGTCTTCTTGTTGTGTTTCAAGAAGGAATGAAACTCCTTTCTGAATAGCAACACAGTTCTCGTATGTCTTACCTGCAGCAACTAATCCTCCAAGCCCAAACCATGTAGCATAAATGAAACATATTCCCCAGTTCCCATACCTATATAGAGAGTGGAACGAGTAGATGATCAACTAAATCAACAAGCAACTAATGATGTTGTGTGTTCATGATTCCGCTAAACTTGAGCATTAGACCATAATTATAATACATTAATCGTATTCGTATAGTGAAATCATTACCATGAACCATCAGGTTGTTGAACGTCTTCAATGAATTTCACTGCTTTGAAGATGAATTCATCAATCTCATCGACTCTATGTGTTGGGTGCAACTTCCTTAACATCACCAAGGCCTGTATTGAAGACGAGGTGCACTCGACATATCTATAAGAAAAAAAAATCATTTAGTTTTAGTAGGTCTAATATAGTTGAATCTCTTTTTCGCGCAATAATTTAGCAAACTAGTAGAACTGGAGACGTCTGAAAATTATTGTTATACCCTAAGATTCATAAATGCACATATATACATATATATTGTGCAAGTACATGTACCTACACTAATGCACTTACTCGTATTCAATGACAAGATCCTTCAAAAATTCCACGGGGTTGAACCACTATATTATAGAAGAAAATAAAAGAAAGGGATTAGAAATTTATAACTAAGAATTTTCTTTATTGACGGACGGAAATATTAAATTATCTCCAAAGAAAATGAAAATATAAAGTATTGAGATCTTCATGGGGTACCTCTAACCATAATTTTTCTCCTGATGGCTCCCAGGCTGAACACCCTCCATTTTTCTTATTCTGTTAAAAAAAATGTAGAATATAATTAAAGGAAATTAAATCAGTTGAAATATTATAATTTTTTCAACAGAGTTCTATAAATTCACCTGAAGAGAAAATATGATATCGACCGCATCATTGAGGTTTTGGAATTGAATTTTATCTCCAACGATATTACGAGGCATTGTTGAGAATAGTAAGCAACACTGCATCCATTATATAGTTCATAACGATATCGATCATATACAACATCAACAAGGAAAGGAAGTATTGAGTTGCATATTAGTTACCTTTAAACTTTCAGCAGTGCAGTCCGAAACTGGCCAGCCATGATCTCGGTCGGAAAATGTCCATGAACCTTTTGACGTATGACGAAACATCGCCTTAAAATCCCCAGAAGGGTTTTCAGTTACTTGAGAAAGCTTCAGGAAGTTGTGTCCTCTTTCAAACATGACTGAAGGTTCTTCAACCAGGTCACTGCAGGCAAGCAAAGCCTGGAGGGCAAAACTAGTGTCCCACGTTTGACTGCCAAAGCTCTGCAGCCAGCCAAAAATACATTAATTTCATAGTAACAACTTAGTTGTCATATGTAAGTCGAACTGTACCACGATCTGCAATATCCATAATTTATTACTTGAAGGTTCATTCCATCCTCTCCAACCCAGAAGTAGTCTGAAATCCTGGCGAGATGCTTTTTGAAGGCCAGCCCGTTGGGATCATCGACCCAGCACGCAAGCATGTTCAGTGACTATTAGGGTTCGAGCAATATCATTTTAGTTAACAACCCAGAAATCGTGTCGTGCAAAGTGGTAACTAGTTCATTAGATGCATGATCATGTGAATACCTTTTCAACAACGCCAATGGTGATGTAGCGACTGTTCTCATCCTCGTAGTGAATGTGTTCCATTGTCCGATGCAGAGCTTTGGCTCTCAGCCTTTTGAAAGGCCAACGTGATAACAAGGGCTCGACAAAGTTGTAAAGTGCGTCCCATAAAAGCTTTTGTGTGACTCCATGTGGATAGTAATTATCTTCCTATAGAAAATAACATTTCAATTAATATATAGTACTCGTTACAACATTGACAACTATATAATGCGAAATGGGTTATTGATACAAGAAATTTGAACTACCTTTGCACATAAATGTCGAACTCCGCCCCAGTTGATTTGTTCATAAGGTTGGTTGTAGATTTCTCTTCTTATTTTCAAAAGCAGTGGTGTAATTCGACCCACAAACTTCTTCCCGTAGAAATATGACATCGACATGTAAGTGAGTCTGCAGTAACATAACATTTTTGCTGCCAATAATATGCATATAAGTATTACTAATTACTTATCATCATTCTGATAGAGAATAAGTAAACATACTTAACAAGATAACAAGAAAACTTGGATATAGAAACAAATTATTTGATGCAACTATTGTAATTGTATCTATAGCTAAATTTTTGAAGAAAAAATGTTATTTGTCTCAGTTTGTATCATATTATTTATATCTAACTCGTAATATTTTTTCATAATTGATGTGAAATATATTAAGTTACACATTAGAAGCATCTATTTGTGTCTGTATAACTATAAATCATAACTATAAAGAATATATAGAGACAAATTTAATAGCCTCTAAACCTTTATGAATTCAATAATAATATACTATCCATATCAAATTATTTGAGACAACGTGCGATCGATTGAAATTATTTGAAGAAAATAAGTAATGGTAAAATTAAAAAACCAATTTTAGGTGCACGAGGCTGTCGTGTATCCCTCTTTGTCTCCCGTTTTGCAGGACTCTGTACCCCATCCTCCTCCGTCACTCCTGCTCCCTTAGTTACCAAAAGATAAGATTAAGGAGGAGTGGCGGCCGAAACTGCAGGTAACCAAGCCTGTTCAAAAGACATATGGAGACCACTATGAGCTGCTTCCGGCTCTTGAGCCACGACCATTCTGGCCATCCGAGTATTCACTCACGTGCATCCTGCCGGATGGCTAGGTCGAGTTGACATGTGCTGGTGGCCACACCCGTCGTGTGCATGTCCACCATCTAAAGTTGTACCTCAAGAGAGATGTGGATCTGCTCTTGGAGGCACTTGTTCTTACACCATCCTGAGCATCCATCGTTGGCGTCCAGCTAAAAGACGGTAAAGAAGCATTTGTGGGGAGGTAACCCCACCTCGGTTTGCATTTCTATCCTTTGTCTCTTATGATTTTTTGGGTCTTTTGAGTCGTTGTGTTCATTTTGAGTCTTTCTAAAGTCGGTCCCGACTCCCGTGGCTTCGGGTATCATATTTTTGCCTATGTTTGTGTGGATTTTTGAGCCGGAGCACGGTCGTGTTGATTGCTTGGAAATGTGGTGTTTTGGGGGAAGCAGAACAGGCTCGGCAGTGAAAACATGATCGGGAACACGGCTGTGTTCCTGCCCGTGTTCTCCCCCAGCTTGCAAAGTTGCTCTCGGCATAAAAAGCACGGGGTGACACAAAGGAGGCGCGACCGTGTTTCTCCCCATGTCCGTCTGTGGTTCTGCCTCGCCCCCATGTGTGCTCAGCTTAAAAAGCACTGGCGACTGGGTCAGGGAACACCGTCGTGTCCCTGCCCGTGTCACCCGTGTTCCCTCTGATCAATTGAGGGCAATGTCACACTTAAGTGTGTGGAGTGCTTTGTTCTTATTGGAAAGTATGTTTGTGTGTTTGGAGCCTAGTCCACTGTCCAAATCTCGAGATTTGAAGGCTCCAAGTATTGACGTTTGCATGTTCATATGGGCACTGTGGTTTTATGTGGTGAATCGATTGGCTGTTAGCATTGATGCATGATAACGTGTTTGTGACTAAGACAACCTCTAATGATGACTCATATGTGCAATAGAGTTGTGTAGGGTTTCAGTTTTTCAACTATTTACCTACCAACTGCGATTTGGATTGTTCCCTCATTTCCTACAGCCACTTATGCATCTCGTTCAAGAATCAAAATGAGAGATAGAGCATATAGGTAGCTATGTGAGATTTGAGCCTGCTCGTTTCTTTCTTGTGCGATAGATCCCTCTTCCATGATGTGTAGCATTCATGTTGCCACTATTTAGGATGATGGAGGCATATGATTAGCCCATGACCAAATTGACTGTCTTGGTGTGTCATACCCTTTAGACAACCCCTTTGAGTCGTGTGACTTTCTTTCTTTCATGTCTTCAATGAAAAATTACCCTTATGCATCTCGTAGAGGTTCCACAGAGCATTTTTTGCATGCTTTCGGTTGTTCTGCTAAAAAATTATGTGAGTATTGGAGGTCGTTCTTAGAAAGTTGGGCATGTGCGTGAAAAAGTAATGAAGGTGGCACGTTGAAGCTCTCTAAGTGAGAGAAAGAAAAAAATATATGAAAAAATGATAATAAGGAAAAGAGATATGCCATCATAAATTTTAATGTTGCCCATCAAAGTAGTGTTTCTTAGCAACACTAATATTGTTATCTCCTTGACTCATGTGCTTTAAAGACTTGGTTAATGGAGAATAGCAGATAAAGAAAGTATGTAACTGGTTTGGTTAAATGTTGATTTCCTGGGTTTGGAACTGTGTAACCTTGGGTCATGAATTCTTCCACCACCTAAAATGTCTTTTCCCCATGTCCAAGACCCTAGCCAGTCATCTGAGCTCATGTCTAAGACCTCCTGACTAGTTAGTGAGGACACCCGATATGTGAACTATAACATCTAAAGGCTGCCATCATGGTGAAGAGATGTTAGGGAATGAGAGTATGAGTATGCACACATCTTGCATCAAATTTTTTCCTAACCCCACCGGTCGAGAGCGAGAGATTCAATTTTCATGTTATTACCTCGGTGAGGACCTAGATTGCTCGATCTTGATTCTGATGTTTTGAATTTTATGCATAAAGTGACTTGTTTTGAATGAGTGGTTGAGTTAAATCTATGTTGGTCGGTGAACAGAAGGGAGACTCTTCCTCTACCTGATTTTGCTGCACTCAAATGTCATCTATGGCGGTTGTCCCAGTTGATGTTGCTTTTGTTCATGTGTTGATGTCTAAAGGCTATTACGATTCACATGTTTTGTGCCTATATGATATGTCCTACAAGTTTGCATTGTTAAAACGTTTTAAGCTTGCCTTGTGTCTAACTTGGCTGGCTTGGGGACAAGCAAGCAGTTAAGTGTTGGGAATTTGATAACGTCGTATTTGCACATGTTTGCACCCTTGTTTCTTAATCATTTTGGCTTGAATGTGCAACTAAATCAATAATTAAGCGATTTAACACAATTAACCCTATTAAAAGCTTTTTTGAAAATAAAAATTATCCTTACCATTTTTTTAAGAAAACATACACTTCTTTCATTTATATACTTTTAAAAACAAAATAAATTATAAAATAATAGTATTTAACATAAAAAATCTAACAATATCCAATTTGACTACTTTTTAATATTATAGATTTGTACTTATATTTTAGGGCTTGTTTGCTTGGGATCAAGGTTGTCAATCCGGTTTAGCAAGTGGAATGGTTCAACCGGTGGCACGTACCGTTTTGTGCTGGTTCATTACGGTCAATATTATAAATAAAATTATTAATACTCATATTTAAAAATGACATTTAACGTCAATACCTAAACATTTATACTTGAATCCAACAAATAACATCAATATTTAACTTTTATACTCATAAAATAAATAATAAAATAATCTTTATCAATTAAATTCTCTAAAATAAGGTCATTTTACTTAGAGATTCGTATATCAATCATTCTGGTCATACCAGTGGTGTCACTCCGGTTTTATGACTGGTATCTGTTGAACCCGGTACAACCAGTGGCACGTCGGCCGGCGTGACAACCATGCTTGGGATTTTGTGAATGATTTGGTGATGGATTTGGGTCCATAATTGACTTTGTCCAAAATCATTGTTTGTTTCAAGTATTTACAGAATACAAATCCATGGAACCCATGAATTTTGAGGGTCCAAATCCATGGGGCCCACTGACTTGAACATTCCACCTCTTTAGGTGAGAATTGATCAAAGACTTTAAAATCCATCATTTTTTATCAATCTACCCTCATATTTTCTTTCTCTTCTTATAACATTGAGGGCTATAAAGGTAAGTTTCACTTTATACCTACAAATTTAATTAAGGGCTAATACCACTAGGAAACCCGAACTATTAACTTTGTGTCATTTGTGTCCTAAAGTATTCGATATGACAATTGTGTCCCAAACTATTTTTCCGTTATGGTTGACTTGCGTTGACCGTTAGTTATAAAAAGAAAGTCTAATCAGCGCTGATGTGGCATCTTAAATGGAAATTAAAAGGAAAATTAAAAAAGTGGAAATTTTGTTCACTTTCCCAAATTGGATTTTCCGTCTCCCTGTACTCCTCTCCCCGATTCATCTCCAAGCTCCACTTCCATGGCGGATCTAACGAAGCTAAGGGATGCAATGATTCCGACACTTCTCGTTCACTTTCCTCTTCACCTTTTCCCCATAACCCTTCTGTATTCCGCTGAAAGAGAGAGAAAGAGAGAATTAGACAGGGGAAATTAGAGCGGAAGCTTGTGCTTCAATGTCGATTCACCGGAAGAAGTAGTCGATCGTCCACTTGCTACAGGCGAATTCACTCAAGAGTAGACGCCTTCCCTCAAACCACGCCAGTCGACCATCCACCCCCCGCCGCTGCTGAGTTCGTAGGGTGAGCTCTTAGATCTCTACCCATAGCAAGCCTTTCCGGCGGAGTGTGTTTAAGGTTTTCGAGCACTGTCGAAGATCTAGATCTAGGACTCGGGCACCGAAGACAACGCCAACACTTTATCTAACTATGATTTTTGAAACCAGCGACAATCGCATGAAACAAGGGGTAGAAGGTTGTTTGAGAGGCCGACGTGTCTTATCCCCAAATTTGCGTTTGAGAGAAGTTCTCAATTAATTTGCCGAGACGAACGACGAACGCTGTCGACAATGATAAGATCTGGGAGATCGGTTCTGATGCCGCCAGCGAAATAGTAGCCCGCAGAACTGGTTGGACTGTTTCAAGCTCGATAAATCTTGAATGAAGAGAGGGTTGGACTGTTTCTAGCTCGATAAATCTTGAATCAAGAGATTTTTTTTCTAGAATAGATTCTGGGAGGAGATGATTAAGATCGGTGGGAAGAGAAGTGGAGGAAAGGGACGGCAGAGGATGGAGTCGAGGGCGGCGGTGGAGTCGTGGTATTGGAAGGATTGGGGGTTTGCAATTGGGAGTGGCAGAGAGGAAGACGAGAATTCCGCCACTTCGTCTTTCCATCACGACTAGCCCCCGCTTCGAACTGTCAAGCCGGTGAGAGTGGCGGAGAGGAAGACGAGAATGCCGCCGCCGTTCCCTTCTTCCTCGGCGGAATTTGATTATGAGGGTTTCTTTTTTATTTTATATAATACTCTATTACTTTTTATTTTTTTATTTAATTTTTAATTAAAAATATGTGGTGTCATTGACGTGGCATCTACGTGGCTGCCACGTCAACGAAAGTCAATGTTAATGTTGACTTCCGTTTGGTCAACCGTTATCTATAACGGTCAACGAAATCTTCAGGACATAAATGACACACAACTATCATACGTTGTTACGCAAATGTCATATCGAATACTTTAGGACACAAATGGCATAAAGTTAATAGTTCGGGTTTTCCAGTGGTATTAGCCCTTTAATTAACAAAATCCATAATGCAATCCATGAAACAAACAATGGTGTTTTTCAAATCCACAATGAACCCAAAACCCTCGTAAACTCATGGTTTTTCAAAACCCAAGTTATACCATTTTTCAAATCCACGAAGCAACGACCCCTTATATTATGGGTTAGACTGGTGTACTCCTAGAGTATACTATATTCTAGTTACTCATAGCGAGATATCTCTATCTAGACTTTGAATTAAATCGAGGTTTGGATATGATATTATACCCTAACCTCTAATGGATAACCCCAGACCCCGATTCTCTAAACTCAAACTCAAATTTCAATTTAATAGAAAATATTAATTGACCGGAGCTCAAAAAAGGAAATCTACGATCATATCATATGGAGTATGATATACTCATAAAGTATACCAGTCATTATCTTATATTAGAAGTTATATTAAAAATTTATTTCTAATGCCTTTTCTGTCAAACACTCAACTGTTTTCTTCCGTGTTTTTCTAAATGCTCCGAGCAATTTTGCAAAAGGTACATTAGTACCAAACTAGCCCTTAATCGGCATGATTTAGTGTAGATGTTTAACTGGTTTTGTCTAGTAATTGAGAAAATATTGTTTCTCTTCATGTACAACTTCCTTATTTTGCCAAAGACATCATTTTTCCTCATTTTCTTCCTTTGTTTACACTTTTTTTTGTTTCAGATTACCAATTGTCAAGTTTCAAATATGTTTTAGGTGACGATGATGCTTGGTGGCATGCAATAAGTAGAGTAATTAGAGGAGTAGGGTCCAAGTGCGAGAATAATATGCAACTAACGTTGATAAGTCTGGGAAGGATGACCTGGTTGGTAGTCATTTAGATAGATTTTTAGTGTGTTTTTTGGTCACAGGCAAACTATGTTAGAATAATTAATAAAACGAGTATTGTACTCAATTTGATGTATTCACTTTGATATATTTGATACAGAATTCATGTATTTAATTATCTTAAGAAAAGTATTTTTTTTATCATCATAAATAAAAGTATTTTTATTAAGCGTCTTATAGTATAAAAGCATATTTATATGGCCATATGATTTTTCAAAGTTTGAAACATCGTACCCTATCATTTGGTTGGACCGTGAATATCGGACACAGAATTTCAAGTCGATAGGTATATTAGTTCAATGCCCTATCACTGACTTTTTCATTATAATATCCAATATAGTTTTACAACTTTCGTAAAATACCGATAAATTATTTGCCTTAGATTATATTCATTAGATGCATATACTTTTGTCTCAATAAGGTGCTTTGAAAAGCGAATGTAATTGCCTAAAAAATGTAATATTGTAAACAAGACTTGATCTAATTGTAGAACCACTTGTTTTGAACCAGGATGTTCCAAGTTCGAATTGTTTATATAGCACCTATCTATAAAATAAAAACAAACTTATAAAAACAATTAGCTACACATTAGCATCAAACAAATTTACGTCTAAATCCATAATTAGCTACATATGTGATTTGCTTGGACATTTATTGAGAAACCAGAAGTGAATTACCTGGATGCATAGGGAAGATAGTTGGGAAGACCCAGAACTCTGGAGGCATGGGGTTGCAGCCATCCCACTCATACACCCCAAGTATCTGCAATTATTGTAATGACATAGCTGATAATTATTATTATTACAACCATTAGGCTGAGCGGTATTACCGCGGAAAAAATAATAATTTGCGGACTTGCAGTAACGGGCTTGGTGAAAAAAATGGAAATCCTTCGTGACCGCTAGTTTGTATACAGCAGGTGTAGCTAGGATAACATAACGATTTCCTTTTGGAAGTTGAGATGGTTACAAGGATATAATTAAACTTACAGCTAGCCAAGTCTTCCCCCAAGAGCTGATCGCAGTTGCAGTGCCGTGATCGAGAATCCATTTCCTCGCTCTTTCGCAGGCATTTTCTTCACCTCCGTCGGGTCCTTCTCCGAGCAGCCGCATTTGAACGTAGTTGAGCACCGTACAGAACATCATGCTCTGGCCTTCTATGTGTAATCCCCACCCGCCATCCTCGTTCTGGTAGGTTTCACATTAATATATTTAATTTTGTCAGTCGCTCTCAAATTTCAAGTCACTATTACTGTTGTTGGAACACTACTAAAAAATATATTTTGGGCTACGTACGTACCTGGTGACAGTAAGTGTAGCGTAGAATTTCTTTTCGATGTTCTGCTGTTATTACCGTGTTGAGGTGCCCTGTAATATACAGAGCAAATACCTGAAACTCACATTAATTATTAGCGACGACCGACCGATAAGAGAAAATATTAATTGAGTAACGATATATAATATACCATGGGTGGGGTGTAGAAGTTGACGCCGCAGTTTTCAGCGCACCAGTGGCCGTCGCTGGCCTGAAGAGCTCCAAAGAAACGAATGCTTCTTCTCAATGCAGCCGTGGCAGCCTCGTAGGTTACTTCCTCTCCCTCTCCCACCTTCACTCTTGGAATCGTTTGCTTAAAATTTTTCTCCCTCAGAAACTGCGGAAAAAAATAAAATTATATGTTTATATGAAATCACACAGATAGTTATGCTAGATAAATGCTACTAGAAATTACAGTTTTAAATTTCATGAATATATATATTAGACATTGTTTTTTTTTCTCCTTCATTTTTTAGGGTGACGTGACAGTGTCCACAGAGGCTTGGCGTTCTACCAAATGTCCAGACAAAAAAAAATGGTCAATTATTTTGAAAAGAAGATATATATGTTTTTTAGATTTTGAAAAAATTAGTATAAAAATCTTATCGTCCTACAAAATTCTGACTAAATAAAAACATCAACCATTGAAAAAATAACCACCAAACAAAACCAAGAATTCAGCCATAGAAAAGGTCAAGTCCATCATAGGACTTAGCTTGTTTGTTACAATTAATTAATGTTGGTATATTTACAAAATTTGATGTCTTCCATGATGTTATTGTTTGTGTTGTGACTTGTGAGTTGTGACCTGGATTGCTTCAGCTGTTAATGGGCCTCAGTCAGATATGGACCAACTCCAGCGTCCTTTAGCTTGAATTGAATTGGCCATATAATACCCAGACCCACCCACCCCAGGATATATATCACCATTCACCACGTGGCGTCAGACAAAGTAGCTAAATAGTAAATATAGCTTTGGTAGGCCCAGATAACAAAACAAGACTTTTTTTTTTTTTTTGTTATGAAATGCAACGTTAAGGAAACTAAACTAACAACCGGTTATTCTTCTTATTCCATTTTTTACTCTCAATCCCATTTTGTTGCTGATCAAAATTTATCGGTACAATCTTCTTATAAATTACTTCCGGGAAAAGTACTACAGGAGTAAACTCGAAACTCGTTAATTAGAATCCAACAGTTGTGAGGGTCGTACGACATCAATTCTTTTAGACCATTTATGATATAAAATACGTATATGACTTCATAACATGCTTATAAGTATATATAATAAGATACGTACTCTTACTGAAAGAAAGGTTTTAATTTCCAATTTTTAATTTTTATTAATTTGTGTAATATAACGATACAATAACATAACATGAACTGCAACTAATTCGTGTGTCATAATTCGTCGATTTATTCATGAGTTATTATCGTTAAATGATTAATATATGTGTGACAGCTGGCAAATTCTATAGAAAATGTTTGAAATACAAGTGAATGAATGATAAATAAAACTCCTTTGCACAAACTTATATGTTTTCTAGTTCATGGTAATGATTTCTTCAGGTTGGCATAGAAGGGACTCGCGATGAATGGATTTGCTACAAGTTTTGTACATCGGGGGCACTCCAAGTCCAAGAGCAAGCGGCCATGTGCCCTTTCTTCCTCCCGCTGATTATTATTTTTTTTAGTTTATAAATTTCTATTAATTAATTAATATGATAAATAATATGAACAAAGTAAGTGGAATGATAAGGTAGAAAAAATAGATTTATTTTTTCAATTTTTTTTAATTTCCATGTCTTTTAGTTAACGATCAAACTTTATAGTTGACTGTCATGTATGATAAATTTAACAGAGTGTAACGGCAAGTGACTAATGGTGAAACGATTCGTAAAGTTAGTGGCGAATAAGAAAGAAAAGTAATTTGGGAAGTAAACATGAAAGATTTGTATAATTTGAGTGACCAAACGTGTAATTAGCCTTCCAAAAATATAACAAACTCATATGTATAAACATAGTTAACGATAAAACTTTATAAACATTTGTATAAACATAATTAACGATCAAACTTTATAGTTGACTGTCACGTAGGACAAATTTAACAGAGTGTAAGGACAGATGACTAATGGTGAAATGATTAGTCACCTGCCGAATAAGAAAGGAAAATAATTTGGAAAGTAAACATGAAAAATTTGTATAATTTGAATGAAAAAATGTGTAATTTAGCCTAAAAAAACATAACAATTGAAAAGTATTATCACATCATAACTATATATTTGGTTAATATTTATACTAATATTATTAATTACACTCGATCAGTTATGACCTGGAACTGCAAGGGGAGGTCGGAGCTGGCTTTGACACGGCCCCGGCGGTTGTCCCAGAAACGACGGCGAGCGGCCTCGACTTCTTCCCGCTCTTCGGTGGTGCCGGCGTCGGGATCGAACTCCCATGTCTGCCTCCCGCAGAAGTTGTTTTTGCTGAACAGGTAAGGCTCATTCCCTCCTTCCGCAATCTTAAGCTTCCACATTATCTATATATATATTTTATTATTTTATTTCAAGACTAAAAATAGAATCGCCCGTTTAGTTTGGATGTTGTGTCTGCAACTCTGCGTACATAGATATAAAGAAGGAAGAGGCGAAAGAAGTAGGGAGGATAAAATTAATAGTGTACTTTGTCTTGCTCGAGCTGTATGTATCCATATTATCAACCCAACCGTCCTCATTTATTCTCATTTTTTCGTCATGCCTATTAAATTATCTGGCCCTCACTACGTTGTTGCTGGTAGGATTTAGGCAAACCATCCCTAGGTGTCCCTCCAATCAAAGTCAGAAAGCAACACCTTCCCTTCTCAAAGGTTACGTCGTTTCACAATACTCAAATTCAATTAATTATCCGAAATTAATTAGCCCACACTTTTTTCCAAAAGCCCACTAACCACTTTATCCAATAACTAAAGTGGAAAGAAAACTTAAAAATCACTTGCACTTTCCTTCTCCCACCAATGTGGTATTTCCTTCACTTTTTTGACTACTCTAACAACTATTACACAAGGTTGTTAATCCAGGGTCGGCCCAAAGGTTGACTCAAATCCGGTTGGTAAAACCGGTGCTACACAATATTTTTAGATTTCGTCCGATTTCGTCAAATATGCTTCAATCTTATTAAAATTCTGCAAAAAAGAGTTTCAACCCAGTCAAAATTATACAAAATCAATTAATGATTTTTCATTTCGGAAGATCACTTTGCTTGGCTTTTATAGGTACAATCTCACGCTGCAACCATTTTATTTCAAATAGACCCGTCGCTAATTCCTTAATTAACTAGTCAAGAAAGGGATAAATAACCTTCCATTCTGTAGGTTGCTCAGTTTGGGTCAAACCAACTTTTGTTCAACATTGTAATTAAGATTTCATGTGATTCCACATAAATAATTTTAAATTTAACTCTTCGATTGTTCAACATAAGCATTTTATTGACTTGGAATTTCAATCATTTGGAGTAAAAGCACAAATGATGGGTTCCAACTCTACTAATCACGAGCTCTATCTATATTGCTTAGGTTGTCAATCACAAACTTATATGATGGATTTAAATATGTTAAATTTTTAATATATGTTAGATTCAAGTACGAACTATTATTTTTGTGTAATGTTATTACTCATATGTAGTTGAGATTTGATATAATTTATAAATGTATGAACAATATAATAACTCATCCAGGCTAAAAAGGGCTAAAATTATCGGATCATTAACACTTCGCCACTTACTTGACAGGGCTATCGGACTAAATTGGGTTGACAACCTTGCTGCAACATTTCTTATTGAGATGAGCAGTGAAAAATCATTAAGTTTGCTAATGGTTTCTTATTTTTTTCATCTTAACCAACCCCAAAATTATTAAGTTGCTAAACGATTTAAAACCAAAAACTAAAACCGCTAATAATGTAATTGGTTTGATTTTAATTAAAGCCAAAAAAATTAAAACCAACCTGACACCCCGCTGGCCATAAGTGCTTTCAAGTCATCCAATGTATCAAAACTTTAATACTTTGTGCGTTTCTTGTCTTATAATCGTCAAATTCAGTTTTAATGATTCGAAACACGCTAAAATAACAAACCAAGTATAAAACTAGTAATAACTTCAAAATATTGATGAAATGACAAAGCATATGACATTGACTAGCTAGGGAGTGGAAACATGTACAAGTTATGAGTTATAAAATTCCACCACACTTGAGCCTTTGTTTTCCCTAAAAAACATTCAAACACAAGTTTCACCTTTAAAACATTAGAACACAAGGCCGATCATAGGGGCAAGTTAGAGCATCCCCAACGGTGGGAGTGGGTTGGATTGCAATCCTAGGTGGCATTGGAATGAAAGTATAGATATGGGTGGCATTGTTGTGGAGACGTTTTCATTATGTACAAATTTGCACACCATGCAAGTGTTGATGCAATTGAAAGCAAGCCCACTTTTTGTACTTTTTTTTTGTTCTTTCCTTCTTTCTTTTCTTTTTCTTTTTCTTTTTCCTTCTTTCTAGTTTCTGCAACCAAAAGTTGCATATTTCATTTGTCTTTTCTATTTGTTTTGCATTTATCTTGTTCCATTCATTTTTATCATACATATATGTAATTATACATTTAGTTCATGGTTAATATGGTTAATAAGATTAATAATATGATTAAAACTTCAAGATTCACATATATTTCAAGATAATACATCCATACAGTACAAATCGAAAAGAAAAGTACACTACACACATCAAGACAACTATTGCATGATTTATTAAAATTAAACAGATACAAAGCATTAAACATTTTAATTTAAATCAAATTGAAAACACAAAAAGGAAAAATTACAATCCAACGAGTACAATGCGAAATTATTTATCACCTAGTAGCTCATTCATTTGAATCTCATATAGCTTTCTTTGAGTTTCTGTCATTGTTGTTGGATCCACAACCAACAATTTGACTATTAGCATATCTTTCCGACGTTGTTCTTTTGACTTCAAATCGGCCTCCATAATGGTTGAAAATTTCCTCATTGCTTCTACCTTTTCCATTTCAATCTCGGTCTCGTTAATTTAATTATCTGAATCTTTTCAATTTAAACTCAAAGTTAAATTATGTTTATTGATATTAATTAATAATATAATAATTTACTAATTTTAGTTGAAAAGGCATTAAAATATTTTAGTAAAATGATGTAAGTAATATGAATATAGAATTGTAGTAAAATTAAGTAGGACCCACGATGCAATTGCATGTGAATGGCATTGATGTATATGGTATGAATGTGAGGAGTGATGTAGTTGTTAAAGTTGTTGAAGTGACAGTAGGGACCACACTTGAAATTGCATAAGAATTGCATTATTGAGGATGGTCTTACAATGATGGATCACAAGTGGTCATTAACGGGAACGGATCAGGTCAGTAATCTTATGGTGAGTAACCATGAGTAACCCGTCCACATCAGCATGACATCAGCATCACTCTCTCTCTTAGAAAGCCTTTAATTTTCCCCTCCTTAATCTTTGACGGACGATTTCTCACTCGTTTTAAGTCGAAATTTAATTTTTTTTACATAGTTAGATCAGATTAATTGTGCTCTTCAAAATGATATATATCCACTTTGATATATTTTTCGAACAAAAACATTGAGCCATTTTTTACCCGTCTATACCATATGGTATTGAAATAAGAGCATACCTATGGTTTGAAAAACGTATCATGGCGGTATGAACAAACCAAGACTGTAGGATGGTTGAATACATGATAGTAGAAATATATTAACTGTCATTTAAGACTTTTAACATTGTGTACTATAAGATACCACCCCGTACCAGGGTGGTATTGTGTTGTATTTTTTGGTCTTGTAATTTGTTCACCCAGAAATTTGTAGATCCAATAGATCATGATGAACTCGTTCCTTCTATGCAAACGTTTTCAAAAACGAATTAAAAATGAAGAAAATACCATATGGTATGCAGTTGGTACCGAGAGGCCAGAATTTTTTGCTCTAAAAAAATATTGAAAATTGATCTCATTTTGTAGAGCACGATGAACTCGTTCCACCTGTGAAAATAAATTAAAATCCGAGTTAAAACGAAAAAGATATGAGCCGATTAAGAAAGCTAAGGAAAATAAAAATGGTTTTTAATTCTCCCTCATTAGATCTGGATTTTCTAAATGAAGGGTGCAGACTTGGTTATTGATGGATGTATAACTCATGGTTATGCACCCTATCTTGAGCCGTCATTAACAAGTACATAAAATACAATAACAATGACGCTAACAACCACCAGGGATGATCAGACTATAATATACTTGTGACATAGGATATGCCTCCTCAGACTTATAAAATGTTATGTGAACCTGAAAAATTCACTCGGTACCCTCACTCATCTGAGCACAAAAACCAAGAAACAAATAAACAAAGTTGAGTTCCTAGGACCTCACTGTAGTTTTTAGACAATTGGAAGAATTCACTCAACACTCCACCAGTGGGGTCAGAAAAAACATTATGCAAAAGATTTGCATGCTATTAACACTCAACCCTATTATTTCTCTACTATGAAGCTAGCTCCTAAATATTTTCAATTCGTTCGAGTCTCAAAAAAGCGAGCACCATTAACTTGTGCATAAGTATTTTACATCAGGTTCTAATGTGGTTATTGTCTAGGATATGTACCCTCTCACGTCAATCCCACGAGCCTCTTATCCATTCTCATTCGATCACAATGGTGAGGTGTGTGTGTTGGGGAGTCAAATCCCCTCGTATTCATTCTCATTCGATCACGACCAGGGAGGGGGGGGGGGAGGGAGGGGCGGAAAATCAAACTAGAAAACCTTGTATTGGGTTTATGGATAATCAGGCTCAAACTAATTACTTACATCAGGATATGATCCCAATTGGCCAACTATACACGTCACAATTACTTGACAAAGAAGCTATCGAAGTTGGGAAGAAGAATGGCAGAATTTGGCTAAGTCAAAATCCGTGTTCAGGGTACATACTTTGGAGGCTTGGTTCTCTCAATTGGCTGAGTGGAAATTCAATTTTAAGAGTTTGTTTTGCAGATAAAGTTACCATCTTTCCAATGGTATGCTTTGTGGATCCATATGATGTCATTAAGGTTGTTTTCCAAGGCCTCAAAGTTGCTACCTCAAAACTGGAAAACTACCAGAAAATGGTTTAAGTCTGGAAACTGTTTTGCGAAGCCTACTTTGGAGCTTAATTTGAGGAGTATGGATCTTATGCAAGTCCAAAGGCTTCCACAACATGAAACTAGGTATGTTTGTGAACAAAGGGAAGGAATTGGATGAAGAATTGGAGTTCGGGAAGGCCTCGAACGAAAGGCGCGAAGTTAGTACAAAGTCACAAAATTCTGCCTTTGTAAAAACAGAATTGTTTTCCTTATTCGATTAGGATTAGGTCCTTTTTGCAACATTTTAGTTGTTATTCGTATTAGATTGTAATTATGAGTTGCTTGTACGAAAGTTAACCCTAGTTAGGCCTATTTAAACTCGTCTTTTGTATTGTAATCGTCAGAGTTGATTAATCGAAAAGAAACCGTTTGGTTTGTGCAAGTTGCGACTTGTTTTGGGTTTGGTGGATTCCAAACTTGCCGAGCTTGTGTATCGATTGAATATTCACTTCAATCGTGGTCGAGCAACTACCCTTTTATACCAATCAAGCTATCCCCAGGTGTGGATTTGTCCTTTTGGTTCCGTTTTATCCAAATTCGTATTAAGAACGTTTCGTTTTTTATTCGAGCTCAATCCATTCTTCGATTGAGTCATTTGCTGCATTACTTTGATAACATACACACCAAGGGCGTATCACATCATGTCAAGAAAATGTGTATCTAGTGGTTAATAAGGCTCAAAGTTCCAAAAATACCAAACTGATCCACATAAAACCTTCTTTTTTCTGCTTTGAGATACACGTGTGCCTAAATTAAACAATAGGAGTTTATTTGGCCAATATTAGGCGCGAACATGCCTAAATTTAAGTGTATAAAATTTTGTCGCATCTCTCTAATTATTTCTTCTTTAGAGCAAGAACACAATAATGCCACAATTTTTACAATTCATGAACAACACTTTCCTTTGAAACATTTCCTCAACTAGCTTTAAATTGAAGCAAATAAATTTAGTCGAACCAACGAAGTGGAACTATGAGAAGGGATCAAAATAATACCGCGTGAACAAACACAGATTGACTTTTAAAAATGAGGTCAGAAAGAAATAAGTTAAGACTCGACGGGGTTGACTAACTGATATTATGATAAAGTTAGTCAATTTAGGCCGTGAGCTATATTAATAGTGTTATGGCTCGATCTCAGAAGCAAATATTAAGAATGTCATCACGCAGAAAGGAATATATCACACAAATCTCTCATGGCCTCCTAGATGGTCAGTCTTGCATGCTAGTTTATTAATCACTATGCATAAATAATTAGAGATTGTGATTGACTAATTCTTGTTCTCATGCAGTTTTGCCATCCAAGAAAGAGTAACAATAGACACATGCATACAACATTCCAGTGAGAATAATAGGTCATAATGTATCCAAAAAGCATTATTCATGAATCAAAGTCAATCGACCATATGAGATTGAAAACAAAACGTTAAAAAATGCTATGATCATACAATATTGTTCTATGTGGAAATAATAGATATATTAGAGGGAGAGAAACGAGTTTTGGTGAAGTGAAACACACGTGCTTGTAGGAAGAGTTGAATATTATGGTGTTTTCTAAGATTGCTGAATAGTTGGGAGACAGAAAAAAAAAACACCACACAAAAGTTAGGATTAAAAAAAAAAACAGAGGTCGAACATATGCATGTTCAAGATTGTATTTGCCTCGACATAAAAATTAACAATAAATGAATTTTTGGTCAGTTCCCTAAATTTACACTAGTCTTCGAATACGACCAGCCGCACGACTGTATCCATGGCATGTGCGGCTCGACATAAAAAAAAGGTTAAATACACTTGTATATCCAAAACTTTCACGGTTGTGCCAATAATATTCAAATTTCCCGAAATACCACTTATATCCAATTTCTTCACATTCTGTAACGGTGTTTTTGGATATACAAGTGTATTTAACCAAAAATATATTGGGAAATGGATAGATTTGACAAAGACCAACTTTAAAACATGGATATAAGTGATATTTCAGAAAATTTGGATATTATTGGCACAACCGTGAAAATGTTGGATATACAAGTGTATTAAACCTAAAAATAAATTAGATTTTTAATGTCTTTTTCCAAGAAATGTTAAGGGATGCGGCAACATGACCTAAGACATGGGTGTGTCACGGGCCATGTTCACCTCGTAAAGTCAATTTTTCAATGGCTAAAAGTATGAAGTTGTGTCAATTAGAAGCTTTTGGGGTTACAAGTTCAATGTTATCCATGCTCTACACAGAGAGCCAAGGTGCATTGAGAGGATAACACTTGGTATTTCTAGCACTCAAACTTTTATTCTTGCCAATAAGACCCTACCATCCAAATTATCTTGCATCCTGTAGCATGCATTCCACATACTCCCTCATGCACTTCTCTTATGATGTACCTAACTTCCTTACCATTGTCACACCTCAGCCGGATGTTTCTATAACCTCTCTTGTACAAAATCTGGTCACTTAGCACATTACCAACAACTAGCCTTCGTATTGTTCTCTTATCAGTTGAACTGGCACCTTCCAGATATTCCTTGTCTACAATGTACCACAAAATTTCATAGTACGTACCAAGATTTCTGTCATTCTTGAAGATCACACTTGCACATTCTGGGCTATCATCATTTGTATAGATAGAATTTTGGGGGATCCAAAGTCGATAGGGAAATAACTCAGAGCGTACACTAAAGTCCCTAAGCAAGAACTTAGTGGAAAAGGAAGTGATTGAGCGATGAAAACCAGAAGGTGGGCTTGAAAACAACCATTCGTTGCAAAAAGTGTAATATCTCACTGGTATAGCTGTGTTGTTTTTAAGGTATAGGCATACTGAAGATGTTGCTTCTTCAACTCTCCTTAGGATATGAGTGTAACTAGTGACATGTTAGCTTGTTTTGGGTATATATTCTACCTCTAGATCGTATTTGATGATGAAATAATGCTCATTCATTAAAGAAAAAAATATAAAGTAGTTGTTACATACTCTTTCAACTTCTCTGAGAACTTTCTTCCCAACGTAAATATGATATAATTCATTATGTATCTTTTTCCTCATAACACTTCAATCAACTTTACTTCAAGCTTAAGTTACACCTTATACCAAGTAACCATTCTAACCAATTGGAAGCCATACATTTCTCCAAACAGCCCACAAGCTCAATACTTTTATTTTCACCCATGTTGAAATACAATATATATATGGTGTCACCAGTATATCTTGCTATAGATTTTTTTTTTCAATAAACTTGACGACGATATTCTGCTAGAGCCCAAATCGGAAAAATATTTCTGTAAGCTCCATAGTGCATCATACAATTCCTCATAAAAACTCCCATAAGTTCCTGCAATTATATCTCCAGATTAGTTCAATCACTACGTACACAAAAGAAAAATAGTACATATACCAACTCCAAGATTCAGCTAGTTATAATGCTAATAAATCATTCATTCCCATTTTAAAGTTCAAGTTCCTTGGCAAAAGTAAGTCTTCTTTGTCAAACAACAAATATAACGAGCAACATGCTCGTACCTGTTGCGGAAAATCACCCAGCTCAGTTTGTGAATTTATCAACAACCTTGCAGCAGCATGAAGTGGTGTCGGATCTCTCTTTGCCTATTAGGTTTATGTCTATATTCAGTTAGTTCTCATGGAAAATATCATTATGTCATACTAATAATACATTATACATATCATCAGAATCAACCAACCTGACCACCAAGGATTAAACCCATCAAAGCTAAAGAAGTATGGATCAAGTTTGATCGGCCAACCATGGAAACATACTCCTGCACATTATTATTAACGGGTCAAAAAATTATCCAGTTTTATCTACCAATATATACTATGCAGTATATGTATACCTTCTTTGGGCATGAAAGATAGCTTTCTCCCCATCCTCCATCTTCTTTTTGTGTTTCAAGAAGGAAGGCAACTCCTCTCTGAATAGCAACACAATTCTCATATGTCTTACAAACAGCAACTAACCCTCCAAGCCCAAACCATGTACCATAAATGAAACAAATTCCCCAGTTTCCATACCTATAGAGAGTGTGACAATTAGATGGTCAAACTTAATCATCAAGCAACTAATGATGTTGTGTTAATGCAATAATAATTGCATTCGTATAATGAAATAATTACCATGACCCATCAGGTTGTTGAATCTCTTCAATGAATTTCACTGCGTTGAAAATGAAATCCTCAATCTCTTTGACTCTATGTGTCGGATGCAACTTCCTAAACATCACCAAGGCCTGTATTGAGGATGAGGTGCACTCGATATATCTGTAAGAAAGAAAATCATTTAAGTTAGTTTTAGTCGGTATGATATCGTTCAATCTAATTTTACAAACTACTAGATTGAGAAGACATAAAATTATTCTTATGTCTCTAACAATGCCGTCATAAATGTATATATAATATACCAAGGTTTGTGAAACTGTACCGTACTGGATATTGAACAGTAAAAGTCAGCGGTAGGGTATTGTATGGTGAAACTGTGGTTTGAGAGTAGTCAAACCGTTAATAGCTTTGGTACTGGTATTTAGTGGTTGAACTACCGATACGTTCTCACAAATCATGATGAAAATATATATTATGTAATTACGACGACATACACAGATGTACTTACTCGTATTCAATTACAAGATCCTTCAAAAACTCCACGGGGTTAAACCACTATTGTAGAAGAAAATGAAAAAAAAAAGATTAGAAAACTATAAATTGAATTCTTTTTATTGACGAGGCTTAATATAATCAGCACAAGAAAATGAAAACAAATAAAATTAAGGTATTCTTTAGGTACCTCTAACCATAATTTTTCTCCTGATGGCTCCCAGGCTGAACACCCTCCATTTTTCTTATTCTGTTAAAAAAAATTTAGAATAGAATTAAAGGCAATACAATCGGTTGAGTTATTATCATTTTCTCAACAGAGCTTTATAAATTCACCTGAAGAGAGAGTATGATATTGACCGCATCATTGAGGTTCTGGAGTTGAATTTTATCTCCAACGATGTCAGCATGCATTGTTGAGAATAGTAAGCAACACTGCATCCATTATATAGTTCATATATAACAGTAGAAACGAAAAAAAGATGGATTGTATATAGCATAAACAATCAAGTGTAACTATTGATCCTTGGTACATAATCAACCAATTTTTCCATTTAATCGACCCTTAAATGATCATATGACTATATGAGCTAGCTAGTTACCTTTAAACTCTCAGCAGTGCAATCTGAAACTTGCCAACCATGATCTCGATCGGAAAATGTCCAAGACCCTTTTGACGTATGGCGAAACATCGCCTTAAAATCCCCAGAAGGATTCTCAACTACTTGGGAAAGCTTTAGGAAGTTGTGTCCTCTTCCAAATATGACTGAAGGTTCTTCAACCAGGTCACTGGCAAGCAAGGCTTGGAGGGCAAAACTAGTGTCCCATGTTTGACTACCAAAGCTCTGTGGAAGAGAAAAAAATAATACATATCACAAGTTTATAAGTTATTCATATACAAGTCAAATTGTACCATGAATAATTACCTGAAGTTTCATTCCGTCCTCTCCAAGCCATAAGTAATCTGAAACTCTAGCGAGATGCTTTTTGAAGGCCAGCCCGTCGGGATCATCGACCCAACAAGCAAGCATGTTCAGTGGCTATTACAGTTCGAGCAACATCATTCTAGTCAGTAACACATAATTCATGTCGTGCAAAAGTGGTAAGTAATTCATTAGATGACACATGGTCATATGACGCACTAGAAAATGCTTCTGGCGTCAGTTTAAAACATCACCTAACGATGTCACAATATGGATGTAGTCTTGCGCGAACAATTATGAAAAAAATGACGGTTGATTGCATCGAAATGTCATTTTTTTATTTCGTTTCTTAAAGTTACTACAAGATCTATAGAAAGTCTCGATACCTACATTAACTGACATTAACCTTGCAACATTTAGAAAACGTTGAGTACCTTTTCAACAACCCCAATGGTGATGTAGCGACTGTTCTCATCTTCGTAGTGAATGTGTTCCATCGTCCGCTCCAGCGCTTCGGCTCTCATCTTGTTCAAAGGCCATCGTGCTAGCAAAGGCTCGGCAAAGTTGTAAAGTGCGTCCCATAAAAGCTTTTGTGTCACACCATGCGGATAGTAATTGTCTTCCTGTAGAAAATAGCATTTCGATGAATATATAGTACTCGTTAGACCATTTGAAAAAAATGCTAAATAGGATGTATGGTTTGGAAATATGAACTCTATGAAGTACAACCTGTGCACATAAATGGCGGACGCCGCCCCAGTTGATTTGGTCATATGGTTCGATGTAGATTTCTTGTCTTATTTGCAGAAGAAGAGGTGTGATTCGACCAACAAACTTCTTTCCGTAGAAGTATGACATTGGCATGAAAGTTAGTCTGCAGTAACATAACATTTTTGCTGCCACCAATAATATGTATTAATAATTATTAGTAATCTATAGTAACAGAACATACCCTTAACTTCAACTTTCTCTGTAACAGCTTATGAATAAAAAAATGGCACACTCTAGTTGAATTTCATGAAAAAATGGAGAACTTTTTTTTTTCTTCAAATTATTAAAATCGCCAATCACGCAATAAGTACAATTGGTTTTCCGTTTATGGAATTACGTATTTGTTTATGAGATTGTGTAAGAAAAGTGAATAAGTGATGGATGAAATTGCGTGAAAGATAGATTGTATGCGTAAATAGAGGAATTTTACAATGCTATAAGTTTTTTCTTTATGGTACAACTTGAAATTGTACGTTATGGTACAACTTCAGATTGTACATATATTTTTTGTACAAATTTTGTTATGGTACAATTTAAACTTGTACCTTATGTGATGGTACAACTTTACAACTTGAAGTTGTACCATCACATAATGATACAAATTTCTTTATGGTACAATCTAAACTTATACATTTAATGTTATGGTACAACTTCAAGTTGTACATTAAAGCACTTCTACTATACTATATTTACAACCTGAAGTTGTACCATCACATAATGATACAAATTCCTTTATGGTACAACCTAAACTTATACATTTAATGTTATGGTACAACTTCAAGTTGTACATTAAAGTACCAATGCTATATAGCATAGTAGAAGTGCTATGCGTAAATATAGGTTAATTTGTGTAATTAATTGATAATTTTTTTTTGGAACGGATCAGGTCAGTAACCTGTCTACATCAGCATGATTTTTCTTTCGTTTTAAGTTGAAATTTAATTTTTTTTGCAGAGATAAATCAGATTAAATGTGCTCTTTAAAATGATATCCACTTTGATATATTTTTAGTACAAAAAAAATTGAATAATTTTTTACCAGTCATTACCATATGGTATGCTCCTATTTAATATCATATGGTAAGAAAGTGTACCATGATGGTATGAACATACCAATATGGTAAGAAGGTTGAATCATGATAGTAGGAGTATACTTACTATCATTTACGACTTTCATCATTGTTTACTACAAGTTACCACTAGGGATGGCAAAACTATCCGTAACCGTGGATATCCACCCGAATCCGGCCTAATCGGGTAGGGTAAAACCCGAACCCGAAGGACGTTTAATGGGTACGGCCGTACGAGTAAAACCCGAACCCGAATATTTCGGGTAATGGGTGGGCATGGGTTTCTCATTATCCAACCCGAACCCGCCCGATTATACACATACATATGTTTTTTGTCTAGAAATAACCATTATTTTTTTCTAACATATTTTATATTTAGCATATAAATATAATATTTTCATGAAATTATGTTGTTTTAATTAATTTTCTTCATTCGAGTGAATTATTGTCATACTTTTCTAGACCTGGCAATCAGGTCGGGTTGGGGACTTTGGTTACGGGTCGGGTCATATTTGGTTGGCTGATTTCGGGTCAAATATTAACCCAACCCATTCGGTTTCGGGTCGGGTTACAGGTCATTTCGGGTTATGAGCGTTCTCAGAAACAATATCAAACATGCTTCGTATTTTCTTAAAGAACACAAATTTTCACATATGCATAACAATAGTTTACCTAACACATTTCAATTAACATATTCTCAAATCCTTCCACGCTAATGAAATGAAATAAAAATTGCGCAAATCGTCAAAAAAACAATCACAAGAGTAATACTACGGGTTTTTTTTCCAATAATAGCATCCAGCCGAAAATATTTACAAAAATAGCACCATTTTTTATGGACCGCACCTCGAATGTGAGTTTTATATGTAAACCGCACCCTCCAGGTGCGTTTTATGTATAAACTGTACATTGGAGGTGAGTTTTGCGCCACATCATACTGGGAACCACACCTCCAAGGTGCGGTTTGTGTTTGGTGGGCAACGGCCTTGGAGACCGCAGGATCAGATGGCGATCTAGCGGACAGAACGCACGCCACGTCAGCGATCCTTGCCACGGATCGAAGACCGCATCGCCAGCGAGAGATCAACCCTCGGGGAGCGTAAACCGCGCCGGGAAGGTGCGGTTTTGACTGGGGAGCGTAAACCGCGCTGGGAAGGTGCGATTTTGACTAGGTCAAAATTACTAGACCGCCCCTGAAGGGTGCGGTCTGATGGGTATAAAAGCCTTGAATAAGGATGTGCATTTTATGTATAATGAGTATATTATTTTTTAAGTCAAATGAACCTAGGACTAGCACTGACTCCACGCCCGCACTCAGAATTTGTATTAAGTACCAGTACACATGGAAAGTCAGCATTTCATCTTCATCACATGATCGATGTTCTAAAGGACTCCAATAGGAAGTTAGTTAAGTTTGGTAATTGATGAGACTAAAGAGTTTATTTAGTTTTATGAAGGCAATTGTTTTTAGTAAAATGTTACACGCAATGTTTCCGCTTCATCACATATATTTAATGTTTAAGGACATTTTAGAAAATGTAGCACCTGACTCGAATATGATGTCACATCCGACAAAATCTATCATTTATTTTATTTTATTTTTTCAATTGAAGAAGAATTTAATAGATAATATATATAGGTGGCTAATTCAACGCACTCACTTTTTTGGGTGCACTAGCCACTGAGTGCACCCAACTCTAACAGTGTCCATAGTACATCAAATTTTGAATTTTAATTAGTACTCTCAATCTAATATGATGATATGACATAGAATCATAACAAATCAATCTATTACCCTCACCTCTTAACCTTCAATTTTGAATCACAACCCAAAATTCCAAATTGTATCCCTAAACCCTAACCCTAAATCCCCAAATCCTAAATCTTTCAAATTAAACTAAATTTAGAATGATTTTTTTCAAATTCATGTGCTTCTTGTTCATAATGTCATATGCAACAATTGATACCGTTTTGACATGAGTCTCATGCTTAGAATGACAATTATGAGGCAGTGCACCCAAAAAAGTGGGTGCATTGGATACGCCACCATATATATATATATATATGGGTGGTCATATCATACCTTGGGTAAAATCAAAGGTATGACATACCTTGAGTAAAAAATGATACATGGACCTTGAATTGACCAGAGTTTGGCATCTAGTAATATTCCCAAACACTTAAAGATCAAAATCTAGGTCCTAATTCTATAAATCTCATATACTAAGATCAATTTAATAAGAAATAAAAATCGACAGTTATGATTCGTTAAAATATATGCAACAAACTTCATGCACAAGCTTAGGAGTTAGGCACTATGATTTAGAAAACCAAGACCTAGAGTTCGCTGATCAATGGTTAGGGTATAATATCATGCCCCAAAATCCAGTTAATTCGAGATCTAGATAGCATTTTTTTACTGAAGGTATGTCGTACCCTAAATATTACACACAACACAATAGAAGCCACCATATATATATATATATACTTTTTGAAAAAGTTAATAATATAATAGAGAAACCATAAGCTCACCTGGATGCATTGGGAAGATAGTGGGGAAGACCCAGAACTCTGGAGGCATGGGGTTGCATCCATCCCACTCGTACACACCAAGGATCTGAAATTACTATTATCATTATCATCAATTCATCATCATCATTATTTATATTATTAGTATTATTATTTAACGATTTCTTTCTCAAGATAAGATAACTGCATGGTTACAACTTACAAGTTACAAGGATATAATTAAACTTACAGCAAGCCAAGTCTTCCCCCAAGAGCTGATCGCAGTTGCAGTGCCGTGATCGAGAATCCATTTCCTTGCTCTCGCGCAAGCATTATCTTCGCCTCCGTCGGGTCCTTCTCCGAGCAGCCGCATTTGAATGTAGTTGAGCACCGTACAGAACATCATGCTGTTGCCTTCTATATGTAATCCCCATCCGCCATCCTCGTTCTATTTAAATTTACAGAGATATATATATATATATATATATATTATATAAAAAGGTGGAGTTACGTTATTGTTACCTAACAATTTACCATTTGATACCCCAAATTTAATTAAATCACAACTTAGTAACTAAAATGTAAATTTTACGTTTTAATACCACAACTTTAATATAAAATTATTGAACAATTATGTTTTGGTATGAAAATTTTACAAGATTTTCGTACCAACAATTTAAGAATCCATTAATCCAATCGACCAATCCTTTCGAACCAATCCATAAATCCACTCCACTATAACATTAATATATATAAAGCTGAAGTTAGGTTACTGTTGCCTAACAATTTACCATTTGATACAACAAATTTGATTAAATCACCATTTAGTCACTATAATATAAATTTTACGTTTTGATACCCCAAATTAAATTTAAATATAAAATTACTGAACAATTATGTTTTGGTATCTAAATTTTGAGATTTTCGTACCTACAATTTTTTAAATTTCCATATTGGCCCAATATATAGATTTCACTTGAATCCATGAATCCAATCCATTTATCCTTTCGAACCAATCCATGAATCCAATCCACCATAACATAAAAGTGTAAATTTAGTTTGTACAATACAAGATGTTGTATCACTCTACCGTTGAAGAAGATTCAACCATTTTATATTTGCTCATTACGTGAAATATTATATAAATGATAAAAGAGATACGACTCTAAAATATTGCAAAATCGAATTTATAAACTCATTTAGTATATAATGTTAGGTTACTATTGCCTAAAAATTTACCATTTGATACCCCAAATTTTATTAAATCACAACTTAGTCACTGTAATGTAAATTTTACATTTTCATACCCAAATTTAATTTAAATATAAAATTATTGAACAATTATGTTTTGGTATCTAAATTTTATGAGATTTTCGTACCTATAAATTTTAAAATTTACATATTGGCCCAATAGTTAGATTTCAGGTCCTTCATGCTTACTGAGACCGGAGGACAAAAGAGTAGATCAGGTGGAATGAGCGTGTCATTAGCAGGCCCTGACGGTCGAGTTGTTGGTGGAGGTCTTGCTGGTCTTTTGGTAGCTGCTGGTCCTGTGCAGGTATGATCATTCTTCCTCTGTCCCTCTCAAAAGTTAGCTCTTTGGACTTCTTGCTCGCTCCTTAACTGCTTGTTTCGGATGCAACATCAGGTAGTTGTCGGCAGCTTTACACCTGGTCATCAGATGGAGCAGAAGCAGAAGAGGCAGAGAACTGAACCACCACTTCCTCCACCACCACCAATGGTGACTACGCATCCTCCGGTCACTGTTCTGACAGCCGCAGATCTAAAGGGGGCGTATGCTGCAATGAAGCCAGTCATAAGCCCTCCCTCGTCGTCATTCCACCACGTTGAATCAATGAATCCAAATAAAATCCACTAATTCTTTCGAATCAATCCATGAATCTAATCCACCATAACATAAACGTATAAATTTAGTTTGTACAATACAAGATGTTGTATCACTCAACTGTAGGAGAAGATTCAACCATTTTATATTAGCTCATTCCGTGAAACATTAAATAAATGATAAAAGAGATACGACTCTAAAATATTGGAAGAGCGAATTTCTAAACTCATTTAGTACATTTACGGGGTACTAAACAAACTTCTAATACCTACATGTAACAAAATTCAAAATATGCAGCATCTAAATAGGTAAGTGTTGATAAATTGCTACGGTGAAAATGGTTGACTGTTGTATTGACGGCCAACTAAAAGAATTGGTCAAAACCTTTCCATCATCTACTTCATTTTCGTTTCATTTTTCATTCGTCTTTCATAACCTTTTCTTTATTTTTTTCTTTGTCTTCTTCGTCTAACCCTAATTAGTATACTATTTTTATATATTCTAATCACAAGTATGAACGAGTCCAAACAAGACTCACCAACAATCTAGAGAATTAATAATTAAACTATGAACCACTAACTTTTTCAGCTCAATGTCGAGCCCAATTAAAAGTAAATATATATGGTTATTACTTATTAGAAAGTCGTCATTTTCCACTATAGGATTTTATATGTGTAGATATCTAGCTAATGTATATTTGTTAAAAATTCTAGCCTGGGTGAAAAAGAAAAACTCTAGAGAGAAGCAAAAGGAATACAAACTTCCATCTACGAACTTCCAATCTCATATATACGTCACCCGTACCCTGCCCATAATCAATGTGTCTACTTGGGTTTAGGTAAACCTCATTTACTAGCCAAAATTTAAAAAAAAATTAAATTGGATGTTGACCGCCATATATCTCTTCTTAGTCCATATCGTATTGTCAAATCAATCTTACTAACAAAACTGCTAACGAAAAATTAATTTTAGACTAATAATACTAACAATACACCATTACAGGCCACATAATATATGCCTATAGGCAATCTCCATCCGCGACATCGCCGCCTATTATTAATATATATAATAAAATTGAAGTTTGGTTACTATTGCCAAACAAATTACAAATTAGTCACTGTGTGACAAATTATAAATTAGTCACTGTGGGACAAATTACAAATTAGTCACTGTGTGACAAATTATAAATTAGTCACTATGGGACAAATTACAAATTAGTCACTGTCATGTGCATTTTATATTTTGATACCCCAAATTTAATTTTAATATAAATTTGTCCAATGTTTAGATTTCACTTGAATCCATGAATTCATTCCACCATAACATAAAAGTATAAATTTAGTTTGTACCATACATGATGTTGTATCACTGAACTGCAGGAGAATATTCGACCATTTTATATTTGCTCATTACGTGAAACATTAAATAAATGATAAAAGAGACGACTATAAAATATTGCAAGAGCGAACTAACAAACTCATTTAGTACATTTACGGGGTACTAAACAAACTTCTACTAACTACATGTAACAAAATATGTCAGACCTATATAAGCAAGTGTCAATAAATTGCTATGGTGGAAAGGGTTGAATATAATGTTGTATTGACAACCAACTAAAAGATTTAGTTAAAACCTTTCTATCATCTACTTACTTTTCGTTTCATTTTTCACTCGTCTTCCATAACCCTTTTTTATTTCTTTCTTTGCCTTCTTCGTCTAACCCTAATTAGTATACTATTTTTTATGTATTCTAATCATAAGTATGAACGGGTTCGTACACGGCTCACAACAGTATAAAGAATTAATAATTGAACCATTAACCACTAACTTTTTCGGCTCAATATTGAGTCATATTCAAAATAAATATATATGGTTATTACTTATTAGAAAGTCGTTATTTTTCATAATGGGATTTGAAGACATGAAATTTTAAGCGAGTTCCAGTTTGTATTCCTTTTGCTCCTCTCTAGAGTTTTTCTTTTTCACCCATGCTAGAATTTTCAACAATTATACATGGAATGTTTGGTTAGGTATCTACACATATCAAATAAATAGTTTTCATTTTTCTACAAAAAAGTAAATAATTATCATCTTAATACATCACCTTAAAAGGAATTAAGCCTCAATTATGCAAATTACAGTTCGGTACCTAAACTTAATAGATATTTAGATTTATAACAAAAATTTATTTTTTTGTGCATATAAGTCCTCAAAATATTGATGGATCATTATATTTTAGTACCTAAAATTTTTGTGTACTTCATTTTGCTACCTTAACTTTATAAGTTCTACAAATATGTCTAATTTTTGTATGTGTAATTAAAACAACTTCGAATAAATGAGTATCCATACCCAACTCATACACATTTAGATTATGGAAATAAAATTCATACACTAACAAAAGTGTTAACAAAAAATTAATTTTTGACTAATAATACTAACCAAACACCATAACGAGCCACATAATAAATGCTCATTATAAGTCATCTCTACCCGCCACAAGTCACGGAATTGCCACCTACTCTATATATATTGATCAACCCCGCAACGCAATCTATGTCAGTCGCTCTCAAATTTCAAGTCACTATTACTGCTATTGGAACACCACTCAATATATATTTTGGACTACGTACCTGGTGACAGTAGGTGTAGTGTAAAATTTGTTTTCGATGCTCTGCCGTTAATACCGTGTTGAGGTGGCCTGTAATATACAGAGCAAATACCTGCAAGTTGGATCCGACTCACATTATTAGCGACGAAGGAATATCAATTTCTTAAGAGTTAATACCTTAGTTTGACCCGAACTATACACATACATTCTACTTTGACTCGTGGTATTGGAAATTGCTATTCTAGGCTGAATTATGTAGCAAACTTACTCATTTGGCCTGGAGGCGAGTTTGACCGTTAAATTAGACGGTCAAACTTGTTGACCGTTAGTCAATGCCCACCTCACCTGCCACGTCAGCTTTGAGGACATAAAAAATATTTTTTTATTTCTGAAATTTGTTTTCTTGTCATTTGCTAAAAATGGGCCCTTTTTCGTTCTTTTAATTAATTTTTTTGATTTATTATTTTTATTAATCGAAAGAAAATAAAATTCAGAAATAAAAAAATTATGTCCTCAAAGCTGACGTGGCAGGTGAGGTGGACATTGACTAACGGTCAACAGGTTTGACCGTCTAATTTGACGGTCAAACCCGCCTCCGAACCAAATGAGGAAGTTTGCTACATAGTTCAGGCCAAAATAACAATTTTTAATATCACGGGCCAAAGTAGAAAGTATGTGTATAATTCAACCCAAACTAAGATATTAACACATTTCTTAATTAGGCAACAGCATATATAGAAGGGTAATCACCAGAGGTGGGGTGTAGAAGTTGACGCCGGAGTTTTCAGCACACCAATGGCCGTCGCTGGCCTGAAGGGCCCCAAAGAAACGAACGCTCCTTCTCAATGCAGCCGTCGCAGTCTCGTACGTTATCTCCTCTCCGTCTTCTACCTTCACTCTTGGAATGGTTTGCTTAAAAAATTTCTCCCTCAGAAACTGAGAAAAAAAAAATTGTTTATATCCTAGCTAGTAAGTTAAAGAATTCAATTCGCATCATTTTAAACTCTATTTTTTTATTGAAATGTAGACATCAAGATTGGATTGTGAAAATCAAATGAATAGCGCTGACAGAAGATAACAATTGAAGAAAAATAGGGAGGCCTTATGTTGGTTCGATTGGTGATAGGTTATTTTGGTCTAACCTAGTCGAATCAGTTACCAAATTGTTAGTCGGTTAATCGACATAATATTCAATAACTAACTATAAAGTTGTGGTTAACCGATTAAGATAAACTATATGATTAATAGTAATTGACCTTTGTTTAACAATTAACCGATAATCGAATAAAAATAACCAAACCAACTAACAACCCTATTTCATTCTATGATATTTTTCATGTCGAGGGATGACTATTTGAACCCGTCCCACCGGGTGTTGCCTAACCTAATTCGCGATGTGGCGGGTATATATTACTGGACCCGCAGTAACGTGGGGGCGAGACATGGGTATCTACTTCTGACTCGCCCTGCTCGCCTCGTTCGTGGCCTATTCTATCTCAATTTCTTAAAATATTTATTCATATTTCTCCTATATTTTCTTCAACTACTTAGACTTAATTTTTCAACTAGTTAGACTCATTTACTCATTCCAGTATCACTATTTTCATTCACACCCTTTATTTTACTGTAAAAAGTTTAATTTTACTTGTATTTTTTTAACTAATATGTTAGAGTGTGTCGAACCACCGCTTCATCTATCCAAGCGGGTATTACCCATCCCGACTCATACTTGATACGAAAAAGATATGAGTTTTGAGATACCCACTCCAAGCATTTGCCATCACTCTCATATCTCCGTACGTGTGGTCCATCTTCAGTAGTTTCTGTCACTTTGTATTTGGTTGGTGACTCTAATTTCTTCATCTGTTAATTAACGTACAAGCTATATTGTGTACGAGAAAATCGGTAACAATTAATATTAAAGAAGGAACCAACACCGACGTCCTTAGCTTGGGCAGTTCGTTCAGCAAAGTGGAAACTTGAAACCAATTGTATTGATACTAATCAAACTTTTGTCGGTACAGTCTTCTTACTTCGTGGAAAGTACTACAGGGGTAAACTCGTACTAGGTTGATTAGAATCCAACATACCTCAATATACATGAATCAAGGGAATTTCTCAATTTTGTGTTTTTGTTATTTCTATAACTTTATGGCTCACTCAGAAAAATAACTCTATATATAAACATTAGCCTCAAAAGAGCTTGAATTCATGTAAACATGGAAACATTCTTTAATAAAATCACCAATCATGTCCAGTGATACCACTGATATTCAACCTAGAGATTTCAAGTTTAAATTTCTTGAGTAACACCTAACTATAAAAAATAAACGTATCACTCTTATCCCATAAAATAAAATCACCAATCATTAGGTTTGCTGTTCAAATTTTAATTTTTTCATTTGCCATAGTATAACGATACAACAACATAAAATTAAACCTATTTCAGGCACCTGCGTTCATTAATTTATTCATTTATATCATTGCTAAATAAATTTATTCAGGTGTATACCAGACAAATTCTCTAGAAATGCTTGAACTATATAATTAAATGGTGAATGTCGTTTTTCCTTCCCACAAACTTAAATATTTTTAATACGTGTAATATAATGAAATCTTTGATTGATATCGCTTTGAGAAGTTAATCGGATGATAAAATGGTAAGTTTCAAAAAATTGCACAGCATGCAAATAAAAATGAATAAAAACATTAAAAAACAAAGTCCAAACTTCAAACTCATATGTATAAACAGAACTATATATTCGATTCATATATAATGTTATTATCAAGTTACTGGATCAGTGATGACCTGGAACTGTAAGAGGAGGTCGGAGCTGGCTTTAACACGGCCGTTTCGGTTCTCCCAGAAACGACGGCGAGCGGCCTCGACTTCCTCCCGCTCTTCGTCAGTGCCGGCGTCGGGATCGAACTCCCATGTCTGCCTCCCGCAGAAGTTGTTTTTGCTGAACAGGTAAGGCTCCCTCCCGCCCTCGCCGATCTTCAGCCTCCACATTTTTTCAATATTTTTATTTCACTTTCACAACTAAAACATAATGGCCAGATTAGTTTGTATGTTGTGCGTGCAACTCTGCATACAGTTATATATAGAAGGAAATAGGAATGGTAATGAGGCAGTTCTGGGGCGGGTATCTCGATATCCATATCTGTTTCGTGGCAGATCGGGTCCTAGTCGGGTAATTTATCATTGGGTGTGGGTCGGGGCAGGTCGACCTAATGTGTTGAGGGAAACGGTATTGTTTCCATGTAGATAGGTTAGATAGGTTATTGATTCATGAATGAACCGGTTAGATAGGTTAGGAGTTAACCAGTGTATAGTTAGTTGAGTTGTATAGAGTCGTATATAAAGGGAAAGTAATCTCCCTGTACAGATACAATTTCCAGTTTTCTCTGTTCAAACAATCGATCTGTTAAGACTTTGACATGGTATCAAAGCCATCAGGGTATTCTTGATTTCTCTTTCGTTTTTCCTAAAAGCTTTCGTTCACTTTCTTCTCTGCAACAATGGCATTTGCCAATCAGACTTCTACTTCTGTCCCTCCACCACAGCCGATTCCGTCTGTTCCTCCGCTTCCTCAGACCACCGCTGCTGATCTTGATCCCAACCGTCCATTTTTCATTCATCCAGCTGAGAGCCTTAGCCAGCAATTGGTTTCTCCTGTTCTTGATGAAACCAATTATTCAACTCGGCAGCGAGCGATGATTCGTGCTTTATCAACAAAGAACAAGCTGCAATTCCTCGACGACACCATCACGAAGCCCCCTCCTGGCGATCCTCTCCTTCGTGCTTGGTCAAGAAACAACACCTTGCTTCTTGGATGGATCCTTCGATCCATTTCTCCGTCGATTGCTCTAGGGTTTCAGTGGTTTGAAGACGCCCTAGTTGTCTCGAATGAGTTACGCGAACGATTTTCTCGCGGCAACAACTTCCGCATCGCTGAGCTCCAAGAAGATCTCTTCCGCTTCAAGCAAGGCTCCCAGTCTGTAAGTGCCTAATTCACACAGATGACCACTTGGATGCATGAACTGGATAATTTCTTGCCGATTCCTCCTTGTCGATGCAATGGTCTTTGCAACTGTGGTTTAACTATAGTTCGTCAGAATCATCAAGTCAACTATGTCCTTAGGTTTGTTAGGGGTCTCAACGATTCGTATGCTGCTGCTCGTTCCCAGATTATGTTGATAAACCCTATGCCTAGTCTAAACCAAGCTTTTGCTATGATCATTGAGCAAGAAAAACATAATCGTGTCTTAGCCCTACCTTCCTTGCCTGATTCAATGGCGATGTACTCAAGAGGATTTACCCCTGGTAGGAATCCCACTAATCCTCCGTCAAGATCTCCTTATCCTCCTTCCTCAAATTATCCACCACCACCTCACTCTGGTAGCAACAGATCCTACTGTACTCACTGTCATTCCTATGGTCACACTGTTGACAAGTGTTACAAGCTCCATGGGTTTCCTCCTGGGTACAAAGGCAAGGCAAAGGCTCACTGTGTGTCTACAGAAGATGGTTACTCTGATGAACAACATCATTCACTTCCATTCCCACCTCAAGAATGGAGTCAGATACAAGAAACTTATCAAAAGATGACTCAGTTCATGCAGTCCCAGTACTTTCAACAACAGCCTGACCCTGCTCAGGCTTCTAGTTCCTCTCAGTCTCATCCTCCTTACAACACTCCTACTGCTATGTCTGATATGCCAGTCTCTCATGGCCTCCCATATGCCAGTTAGGCATTCTCCATCACCACTCATGCTCTTCCTACACCACCAAGTAAGGTCACTGTTCTTCAATCCTCTTGTATGTTGGTTGAGGCATCTCCAAAATGGATTCTTGATACTGGTGCTACTGACCATATAGTTAGCTCTCTTAGAACTGTTTCACCTATATATGTTTACCTTCCTAATGGTGATATAGCATTTATTACCCATATAGGACAGTGTGTTATATTCCCTTCCCTTCCCTTACATGATGTCCTTCTAGTCCCTAGTTTTACATTTAACCTAGTATATGTAAGCAAACTGTAAGCCAAGGTAGCACTTGGACTGACCTTTGCTAGTTCTCATTACCTACTACAGGACCTCCAATCTCTGAGGACGTTTGGTATAGCTAATCTTCGAGATGGCTTACACCAACTAGATCCTCATGCTGCTTGCTTGTCTTCTCAACATAGCTTGTCATCTACACATATATCCAGCTCTGTCCAGAACTCATCTTCCCCAAAATCCAATATTGATCTCTAGCATTATCGTATAGGACATCTACCCTATGCAAAACTACCTTTACTACATTCTATAGATCCTGCTATCACTATGAATAAGCAGTTTCATTGCTCTGTATGCCTCTATGCAAAACATAAATGATTACCCTATCCTATTAGTCAAACTATATCTGCTCAATGTTTTGATCTTCTACATATTGATATAAGGGGTGCAGCTTCCATTGCTTCTAATTCTGGTCATTTATATTTCCTAACAGTAGTTGATGATTACTCTAGGCATACATGGATTATTCTAATGAAAACAAAATCAGAGGTTAGGCCTTTGTTAAAATCCTTTTACACGTTTATTTTAACACAATTTAATAAGAAAATCAAATACATAATAACTGATAATGGTCAAGAATTCTTATACAGTGATTTTGACACTGAAAATGGTATTTTGCATCAACGTACTTGTGTTCAAACATCCCAACAAAATGGAATTGTTGAACGCAAGCACCAACATCTACTTGCCATGACACGAGCATTGCTTTTTCAATATTCTTTACCTTCTACTTACTGGAATCATGCAGTTATTCATTCTGTTAATCTTATTAATCGTCTCCCTTCTCCACTTTTAGCCAGTAAGAGTCCTTATGAGTTATTACATGGTCAGCCACCTAGTTATTCTCATCTTAGAGTATTTGGTTCTCTCTCTTATGCATCAACATTATCCCATAATCGATCCAAATTAGCACCACGAGCCATTCCTAGTGTTTTCTTAGGTTATGTTACAGGTACAAAAGGATATAAACTCCTTAATCTTCAAACCAAAGAGATTTTTCTATCTCGCGATGTAACTTTCCACAAAACCATTTTCCCATTTGCTTCTCCCCAGCCCACTGCCACACCTCCATCTACTACTAACCCTACAGATTTATCCACCATAATCTCCTTTGACACACCTATCCACTTACACACCAGTATACTCCCCACTTTACAACCAGCACAACCACTTCCCATCCCTTCATCCTCTGATAACAACATCCCTCTTCCCTCACCCAATCTTATCCCCCAACCAGAACAATCAGTGGAACCTCAGTTACACAAATCAACAAGACAAAGCAACATTTCATCCTATCTCTCCAATTATCACCATAATCTCAAAACCACTGCCAATGCTTGTCAATCCACAACAGAACCCCACTGTAAATATCCTCTAGAATCTGTTCTTTCTTACACTGATTTGTCACCTGCATATATGCACTTTGCATTAGCCATCATGCAAATTAAGGAACCTAAAACCTATAAGCAAGCAATTAAAAATCCAGAATGGGTTAAAGTTGTCCTCCTAGAGCTCAAAGCTCTTATAAACACCAAGACCTCGAAATTAGTAGACTTACCTCCTGGTAAGATCCCAATAGGTTGCAAATGGGTATTTAAAGTTAAATACAAGTCTGATGGATCCATAGAACGTTTCAAAGCTAGGTTAATTGCCAAATGCTACACTCAAACCTATGGCCTAGATTATTTTGATACCTTTAGTCATGTCGCTAAGATTACCACCATTAGAGCTTTACTAACTTTAGCTGCTATTAATAATTGGCACCTGCATCATTTAGATGTAAATACAGTCTTTTTACATGGAGACCTTGATGAAGAGGTATACATGGTTCTACCCCATGGCCTAACTACTGATCCTGCTGATGCAAACAAAGTTTGCAAGTTAACCAAAAGTCTATATGGTCTGAAACCAGCCAGTAGACAGTGATTCCTCAAACTAACATCCAAACTTATTTCCCTTGGTTATACACAGTCTAAATCGGATTATTCTTTGTTTATTAAAAATCAACCTACTTCCTACACTGCTCTACTTGTCTATGTGGATGATATAGTATTAACTGGTAATGATATGTCTGAGATAAATAGGGTAAAAGAACATCTAGATAAAGCTTTTACTATAAAAGACCTAGGTAAGCTTAAATATTTTCTTGGGATGGAGATAGCTCGCTCTTCTGCAGATATACACATGAACCAGAGAAAATACGCTCTGGAACTTCTAGAGGACCAAGGCATGCTGGCCTCCAAGCCTGCCAACTCTCCTCTTGAGCCAGGACTACAATTATCTCAAACAACAGGAGAACTTCTTTCTGAGGATGAAGCAACCAACTATAGGACACTAGTAGGCCGATTGCAGTACCTCTGCAATACTCGACCAGGCCTACAGTTCGCTGTAAACTATCTGGCACAATTTGTCTCCAGTCCCAGAACTCCTCATCAGCAAGCAATTCAACGGGTTCTTCGTTACATCAAGGCAGCACCAGCACAAGGACTGTTCTTCTCCGCAAAGTCATCTGTTGATCTTCATGCATATACTGACGCGGATTGGGCAGGCTGTCTTAACACTAGAAGATCTACTTCAGGCTATTGTGTCTTCCTCGGACACTCTCTGATCTCCTGGGCTGCTCAGAAGCAACATGTTGTTTCCCGCTCCTCAGCAGAAGCTGAGTATAGAGCTCTGGCAGAAACAACATGTGAGCTGCAATGGCTATCATCCCTGCTCAAGGAACTGCATCAGCAAGTACAACTGCCACTATAGGTTCATTGTGATAGCAAATCTGCTATTCACATGGCGTCCAATCCAGTCCAGCATAAGCGCACAAAGCACATAGAGCTAGACTGCCATCTTAAGCGCGCAAATCTGCTATTCACATGGGTATCCATTTTTCAAGAACTTATCTCCAAGCTGCCCATCCATTCCATACATGGTCAGCTTGTCGGGGGAGAGGGGGGTGTTGAGGGAAACTGTATCGTTTCCATGTAGATAGGTTAGATAGGTTATTGGTTCATGAATGAACCGGTTAGATAGGTTAGGAGTTAACCAGTGTATAGTTAGTTGAGTTGTATAGAGTCATATATAAAGGGAAAGTAATCTCCCTGTACAGATACAATTTCCAGTTTTCTTTGTTCAATCAATCGATCTGTTAAGACTTTGACATAATGGGTATGTAATTTATATGGAAAACATTAGAAATATCCGTTATTTTTATTATAAGACCGAGAAACAAATCATAATATAATAAAATGTAGTTAAGTTATTAGATAATTTGAGATTTTCACTATTTCATAAGTTTATAATAGCTAAAATATGACATAATAAAATAATGAAAATTCTAAGTAATTTGACTAAGATTACTTGTAATTTAGACAAGAACAGGTCGAGAATGGGGCGGACCAGGACATGTCTGATCGATGAGAATACACATACCTGTCCCGCCCCGCCCAAAAAACAAGTAAAACAGGTCGAGTAAATCAGGTCAGATCGAAATTACCCTCCTAGAATGAACTAGGAAGAGGTGGATCATTTAAGAGTGAACTCTTTATCTACCTAGGTAGCTAGTTGATACTTGATAGTGAACTCCATATTAATGACAAAACTGTTTCCGACGGGACAAAGACGAGAGACGTCGGAGGAGGACGTAGTTAGTCGTGGCATATAACTCAACTTAGAAAGGCAACTGTCCTCATTAATTTTCCATGTGCATATTAAATTATTTAGTACGATCCAGCTATGTGGATGGAGCCATGGAGGTCGACGACTATAACGTCTTTCTATACTCGACTGTAACATCTTTCTATACCACCCAATAAAAATCAGCCAGAAGTGATCGAAAACACTTCCTTATTATTTTTCTTTTTCATAAGGGTGATATAATTTTTTTTAATTAAGGTACTACTTAAAGGATTCGAACCTGGGACCTCCAGGTTCTAGGATAGTGGTATTACCACTAGATCAAGCCCTTGTTCGTTACACTTCCTTGTTACTTCCTCACCTTCTATTGTTACTTATACTTGTTAGAAATCGAACAGAAAAATTAGGGTTACCGATCTGGCTGAGTCGCGGACTAGGTCGCTCTCTTTAAGACGTCCGCGGCACTGCCTCGTATTGCGCACAGCAGACTATCAGCCGGTCACCTCCAGGATAAAACAGCCACTTTAATTTTGTTGCTCATCGGTTTTGTGCGAAAACCGGAGCTCTATGAACTCACTCTCTATCTCGTGTTTCTGCTCTCTGAGGTGTGTTTAGAGGGTCTGGGGCGTCTCCTATTTATAGGAGCAGAAAACCCAGAATATTCCCTCTTTCTTTGGGAATAAGTCATATTTTAATTAGGGAGATAATTACTCCCATAATTAAAATATAATCTATTAAGATAATCATTCCTAATTATCTCCATAATATTCCTTTTATTAATTATCCATCTTATTTATGTATTATGGGAAAATACTGGATAATTAATTAGAAATTTCATTATAGCTTTTCAAAGCTATTCATCCCAACAATACTTCTTTGATAAATGATTTTGTGTTTCTTGATAAATGATTTTGTGTTTGCTTATAGTTCTCTAATGGATTGATTACTGAAGTCTGAAAGTCGCATTCAAGGAAAGGTTTCAAAGGGGTACATGGCGTTTTTTATTTTTTTTTATAATGGTGAATAATTGCATAAGAATAGGAAACCAAATACAGAGCAACTAAGCTCAAGTTCAAAAAGAAAATAACAAAGGACGGTTCACTAGCAGTGAACCTGCCTAGAGCACCACCCTAAGTAAACGCAAAAGAAAAGCAATAGGGGTACGTGGCGATTCTTGATAGTAAGAAGCTTTAAGAACTCTATCTTTGTGTGAGGAAGAAGGGATTTTTTTATATATAAGTTGATATAGGTTTTTATTTAGATATTTGAATTTGAGATTTTCAGATTCAGAGGTAGTGATACTATAATTAGATTAATCCGTTTTTCGTGAGGAATAAGAGACTTCGTTTAATTTCTTTGATATTATTATTCTTGTCAGAATTTGAGAATCTTTCATCCAAAAGACCCTTATATCCTTTTTTATTTTGATTTCAAATCTTAAAATAAAATCAAACTAATTATGATTTACAACACGAAATGCACTTTGATACATTTTTTTAGCAAAAAATGACGTCATTTGATACTGATATGCATTCTATACTTTCGTGTATGCATTATTTATTTTATGGTATGCATTCGTTATATGTTTTTGTGTATTCTTGTATTTGTTATATGTTTTAGGTTTTTTTTTTTTTTTGTATGAGTTCTTATGTTTTTTATCTGCATAGTTGAATTTCAGGTATGCGTTTTAGGTTTTTTTATACATTCCTTAGTTTTTTTGTATGCATTATATTTTGTTTCAATCTGATTCCATCAATGGTAATTGAAATTCATAAATTAAAAATAAAAATGTCTAAGAAACTATAGAATTAAGAAAACAAATTAAATTTGTGTTTTCTTTTTCTTGTGACGAAGATTCCATACTTGTGGTTGCCACATTGATGACGCCACGTGTAGGCTAAAACTGATCAAGGCTACTGATCATCGACAGAATCTTTGATAACTGACAGGTAAGTGCTATTCAAGGGTAGTTACACCAATATGAAGAAGGCGGGGATCAAACACGCGATCTTAGTGTGCAAATCCACTCCCCACCAGCCAGACTAGTCCTCTTTCGCTAATGTGTGTTTTCCCTCTAATTAACCTTTTTTAAAAACCAAGGATTGAAAACCCATACTGGAGGTTCTAATAGAAAAGTCAGTAATAGAATATTTTATATTAAAATTATAGTTTAATCATTTCATATGACCGATCGTTTGCCTCTTGTGTGGTTAATTTCGACGAGTAACACTACAAAATTAGGAAGCATTGAGGACAGTAGTTGGGGACAAAATTTAATTTTGTCTCCGGAATTCTAAATTTAAAGCGGTATTGGGGACGAATCTATGGAATTGTCTTCAAAACAATAATAGCTGGATGTTTCAATGATGCGGGCCTAACCCAAGTTGTCCCCAAAGACTTCGGCAACGCAACTGGGATTTATGAAATTCGGAAATTTAAAATTTTGGGTTGTTATTGGCGTCTTTCTGCTAGAGGTCGTTTATCCTCAGGCCTCTGAGGCTGATGCCGATCCTGCTTCCCAAGCCCCCTCGTCGTCGTTGATGGTGGCTTTGTTGCGTGACTGATTCTGGACTTTTGGTAGTCTTTGTGCTTAGTGTTCGAGATCTTTGCCGGTTGCTGTTTCTGCTTTGGCCTCTCCCGTTTCTGTTACTTTTTGGTTTGGTGGAGGTCTCTCTAGGTACCTGAGCTGTAGCCTCCTTTTATTTCCTTTCTTTTATTAATAAAACTTATATCGCTTTTATAAATAAAAAAATTAAAAATTTGGGTTGTGGATTCTCTCTCAATTTCTGATCTTGATTTCTTCGCCGACATATTTGGGTGTAAATGGAGTTCTGAAACTCCGATCTACCTGGGCTTTCCGCTGGGCAAAAACCCCTCTCGAATGGCATTCTGGAATCCGATAGTCAGCAAATATCAAAAAAGGCTCGAAGGATGGAAGTCAAAGCATCTATCTTATGGAGGAAGACTCACTCTCAATAAAGTCGTTCTTTCATGGCTTTCCGTTCACTATTTCTCCGTGTTCAACGCCCCTCGAACCTTTACCTCAAGAATGGAGAGAATCATGAGAAGATTTCTCTGGAATGGAACTGGAGAAGGAAAAAGAGCCCCTTTGGTGAAATGGGATCTTTGCAAAGCCTCAAAGCCTAATGGGGGGCTCGGCATTTTGGATCTGGATTGCTTCAACAAGGCCCTCCTAATTAAATGGCTGTGGAGATATATCATCGAAGTTGGTTCCTGGTGGCGAGAGTTGATTGCCAGCAAGTATCAACATAAACACTCCATATGGATCACTCAAACCCTCAAGTATGGTTTTGGAAGTTCTCCCTGGGCAGGAATATCTAAACACTACTCAACTCTTTGGAAGCTTGCTTATTTCGATCCTGGCAATGGATGCCACCTCTCCTTCTGGTATGATTGTTGGTCGCCCGGAGTTGTACTCGCCGACTCTTTTCCTCGAATCGCCGCCGCCGTTACTGCCCCTGAAGCCCGTATCGCAGACGTGTACATCTCCTCGGGTGAGTCCTTTTCTTGGGTGCTTGATTTTAACTACAGGCTGAGAGGGGGAGCTGAGAGTGAAAAGAATGAGTTGCTTGACTTTCTTAATTCCCTCAACTTCGCAGAAAATTTGCACAACCCTTGCAGACCCGTGTGGGCTCCGAATGTTGGGTCTTCCTTTTCTGTTGCCTCTGTTTACAGGTGCTTGGCTGATGATGCATTTCCCGGCGTCCCTGACTTTCCTGATGCTGTAATTTGGAAGAACATCATTCCCCCAAAAATCTGCTTCTTCATTTGGACTCTCTCACACGGAAGAATCCCCACCATTGACAAGTTGCAAAGAGTTGGTTGGGAGCTGGCCAATCGGTGCGAACTATGCAGACAGAGTGAGGAGACTCAGGATCACCTATTCGCAAGCTGCGGATATTCCATGAATGTCTGGAACTTGATCGGTAGCAAGTGCAGAATTAACACCCAACCAAGATCGAGCATCATTGACGTCATCCGTAGCTGGCCTTCCAGATCTTCAGACGGCTTCGACGACTAGTTTCAGACGTGTATTCTCCACTCCATATGCTGGAACCTTTGGCTGGAGCGCAATAAACGCATCTTCCATAGCAGTGATACTCCCTTTGGAATCATTGCCTGGCGGGCTTGCAAAGATGCAACCGAGTGGATCATCGCTCATGGCAAAGCTGACAGAGTCTCTAGCGACACCTGGTTCAGGAATCTCTTCTAGTTTCGCGTCCATTTTGTGCATGTGGGGAGTTGGTTTACCCTTGTCGACTTGATTCCCAGCCTCTCTTCTCCGAGGGGCCGAGCTTTGCTTTAGTTTTCCTTTGTTGAGTGTTCAGTCCTGCTGAACCTTTCTTTTTTTGCCTTCTCTTTGTTTTTTGCTTCCTGTAATGGGACCGTTTTTTTTTCTACGTTCTTTATTATAATCACCATTATCAAAAAAAAATCCAGTCGGCTTGTATCTTAGGGTTTATTTCTTCCCAACTTCCGCCTACTGGGATCTCATTCTTCTTCAGCTTCTCATATTTATTTTTGATCGGCAATACAAATCGATGGTGATGAGACCATAGCCACAAGGTATGAGAGAGCTTCTCCCTACGTCTCCTTTCGATTGTTGTTGCTTCCTTCAATTCGCAGCATCACTAGATTCCTCCTCCTTTGCGTTGTGGTTTACATTCGTCATCCTCCCATAATACCCCTAATTCAATTGATTAATCAGTATATTGCTTTAATAATTGCAATAACTCTTATGATCCCCTGAATCCTTGCCCTTTGATTTTCGTTTAGGTCCTAGGGGTTTGCTTCACTGTGAGAAACATAATTATCAGGAGTCTAATTGTTAGTTTTTGCTTATTATTCGGATATTGGGCTAGGGTGGGAATTATGAGGGTTTATTCGGTTAGGTTAATTATTCGGGTAGTAAACAGGAATTAGTCGGTTTTTATATATACTATGTTATGTTAGGTTAGGGGCAAGCAATAATACAGAATTATTCCCAACTCTCTCTCTCACCTCTCACCTTGGCCGAACCCCCTTCTCCTCTCCTCACCGTCTGCGGCTGCCCTTCCCGGGAACCCGACTCTGCCTTCTCTCTCATCCAATTCCCCAATTCTTTCTCACCTAAATTCCCAATCCCTAATTCGTTCGATCCCTAATTAGCACGCCTAGATCCGTAGTTCTCTCATTCACCGATTATTTTAGTTCAATAATGATTGGTTTCTTAGTTTGAAGGTTCTCCATCCTTAAATTGACTCAATGGGTTTTCGTTCATCCAATTGATTTGTGATGCAAAAGTGGACTGCAACTAGTTCCCAATCTCAGGATGGAGGGAGAAGCACGAGATATGATGAGAAGGCATTCATAGCTTCAAAAGAGTTATAGGTATGTGATTCATTCCTCTTGATCATGTCCATGTGTGTGTTGGTTAACGCATGACTAGCTAGGAGGTTTAGTTGAAAATCTTTGCTTTCTACTCCAGGAAGTATTTTGGGATATGTGGATAAATAGTTCTAGTCAGATTGAATCTGATGATGGTGGACAAATTGATTAATCACAAACCAATGCACTCTGCCACATAGCTTGTTATATTTACATCTTTCTTTACTCTTTCCGGCGGGTCCTTTACTATGAATTGAGCTTGATCTATTTTTTCAGGATGAAATAAATTTTAACCACAAAGACCAACTAGTTTAAATCATGCCCTCTAATTAGTAACGCCCTCTCTCGGAAGTAGGTAAAATCATTATTCAATGCCTTTTACTCCTTTTTAACGTGAGCTATTGTCTATTACAGTTCTGCTTGTTCATTATTTGCTAAGCTCTAGGTAGCCTTAAGAAGTGGTGTTATGGCTTGTGATAGCTAGTGGAAACTACCTTTGCATTATGATGAGCTTATCTAATTGCTTGACTTAAATTACTATTTTGTTGAAATGTTCTCTATGTTCATTGTGTCTGCAGGCCATCGAGTGTCTAGTGTCTAGAAGAATTATGGAGGAACCATTTTCAGAGATGAAGGACACATTTCCAGTATAGTCAAAGAAAAAGTTTATTTGTAGTTTAGCCTGATAGGAATGTTTCATATTATATTGTTCACTACATAGTACACAGATACTTGTGTTATTATCTATAAGAAATGATTTTTTTTCCATTGTGTTGCGATTAATGGTTTGCAATTTGTAGTCCGCATAAAGTTAATTTTAAAACTTATTAGATACCAATTCTTTTATCAAGAAATGGTTCTTAGGAGAAAACTCATTCTCTAGAAAAATGGCTCTTAGGGACAATTTTAGGTATTGAAAACAGTTGAGAGGTACGATTTTTTGTCTTGAAAACACTCGTAAGAGACAACATGTTGTTCCAAAGTCATAAAAGAAGGACAGTATGTGTACTCGGATTTTTTAATATGGGGACAATTATGTGTCCCTGATATTGGAGACGACTTTCAGTTTTTTGTCCTCAAAAGAATAGAGGACAGAACCTATAGGTACCATCCGTGGGACGACGTTTGTCGTCTCCAAATCTTTTAGAGACGAAAAACCCTTGCTTCGGGCACAATATTTTTCGTCTCCAATACGTATTAATTTTGTAGTGTAGGGGAACTGTTCTTTTGTTTTGCTTGCGGTGGGAGATGTTTCTAGTCGAATAACATAAATCGCATTGACTCTAGCGATACAAATCTCTAGAAATTTGAGAAATTTTGATGAAAGTGTTGTATTGTGGGAATTTGATAGTACAACAGTGGTATTCTAGGAAAAACTCCTGGATTTGGGATGTAAATGGTGGGCTGGTGGAATTGCACTTGCGGGTAGGGATGGCAACAAAACCCGAACCCAAGGGTACCCTACCTGACCCAACTCGGTTAATGCAGGTAAAACCCGTGTTGACTGGTTTTGGGCCGAGTTTGGGTTTAAACCCATTCACTAGTCACCGGGTTGGGTTGGGTTTGTGGTTTGGTAAACTCGCCTCATGGGTACCCGCTCACACTCATATAATTAATTTTCTCGGCATATTTAACATTCTAAACAACTAATCTTCTTTATGTTTGTGGAGACATGTCTAATTTTTTCTTTCTAATTGTGTAGAATGAAATTGATATTATCGAGTGGAGAGTGAATAAGTTTAATTGAAAAGGAGGAAGAAGCTTTCAATTAATCTTGTTGTATATGGATAATTTGTGATTTGCTGCAATTTTCTTGAGTTTTCTAGATTGGTGTTGAACAATTTGTAATGTTAATTTGTGATTTGCTTGAATTTTCTATAATGGTGTTTTATATATAGATAATTTATTTTGGGAGATTGATATTTGACTTTAATTTTGATAAAAACTTATTATTGTAAAATTTTTACGACAAAAACCCATGGGTACCCATGAACCCGCAGAAACCAGTAAGTTGGGTTGGGTTGAGTTTTTCAAACTCAGTGGGTTTTACCCTTAATTTTTTTCACGGATAAATCCATGGATGTGGGTATAGGTTTGGCAAACTCAACCCATTAAAACCATCCCTACTTGCGGGTGGTTTCGATTTGCGATGGAGGGGATTAGGATATAAATTGTGACATTTTACTTAGATTAGCAATAGCCTGCAGAGAGCTTCAACAAAAACACTAGGAGGCGTGAGTTGTTCATTTTTCATAAAAGAGGCAAGTTTTTCAGCTGATAGTCTAGCCCATAGGGATCAAGATTTAGCTATTGGTTTGGTACTCACTCTATCTGGAATATGTTATTCTGATTCAGCTATTGTTCGTTGTTTATCGCATAACGTTGTCGGCAATTTTGTTATCCGCTCTATTAATACGTAAGAGGTAGTGGTGCACTGTATCCGTAACAAAAATACGCAAGCAAATTGTTAAAATTAGACTCTGCCCTTAACCATCCCATGCACCAAATTCCGTATTAATACGTTGACACTCTCAACTCAATAAGCAGGGACAAAGCCAATTTTGCAGGAGTTTGACCACCAACTGTTGTTAAACATTATTCCAAAACTTTATTGCTTCTTAATCAACCACAATGCCCTATCACAAAGCCAAGTCCCGAAACTTTATTACTTCTAAATTAACCTAACAAAGCAAGCAGCAAACCATGGTAGATCTACTCACGTCAATGGTGGCAAACCCCTCTGCATCTGTATATTACCGCCAACTTTCTCTAAGCTAGCTGATTTCCCAAACCATACCTTCTTCATAGCCCAACACAAGTTGAGCAATGAGAACCACTAACCACAGAGTCATCATATATTAATTGGAGTCCCTCGTCTCTGGCAACTGCATCCTTACTATGTCCTCTCTTGGAAGATTATCCACAGAACCATCACCAGCCCCATTGCTCGTTCCTTGGGCTTCAGGAGTTGTTAGCGCCAGAAGGTGCGACGACTCTTTGTTTTTCCGGAAGACCAGGTACCCAATTGCGGCCAGATAGAGCCCCATACCAGCAAATCCAACTATCCCAAGAGGGATTGAAGCAGCCAGTTTAAGATGGCCGTGGAACAGAATATCGATGAATCCTGTTACTAGGTAGTAGAGGTTGATCGCCATGATGAAGAGACCGATTATCCAAGTGAGAGCTGAAATCTGCAAAAGGATTCAAAGGTGTCTTAGGTAAATTGCAAAGCGAGAGATAACAGCACATGAATCATGCACCAACTTTTGAAGCGTACCATCTTGGAGTTTGCATACTGACCCATCTTGGTTGTGCTACTGGTGAATTTGAGAAGTGGAATGAGAGCAAAAGGAAGCTCAAATGATAGAATCATCTGCAATAAAGCACAGGAGATTTTAGCTGTTGTAGGGCTCACAGGTCAGAGAGAAGGGTAAGGTTGCAGGATGTCTCAGCTATCAAATGATTCATGCGTCATAATAGGTTGCATTGCAGAAAAAAAAATTTGCAAGAGAAACGCCATCCTTCCCCCAACCACCCAAAAGTTCAAGCCTTCGTGTGATACAAACCAAAATATTTAAACTCTGCTTCTTGTTACTGCATGCAAATGCTTTAACCTTTGGCAGAGCATTTTGGCATTAGGATTCAGGGGAAGACTACCACCAGAAGTAAATCTAACTAAACAGCATGGCAGGTGTCTCTAAGAACTTGTGTTACCGTATTATTAAGGTTGATAGAAAAAGGAATTAGCTAAAATGAAAGGGTATGTTACAAAGTGCATATTAATAATAACTCCTATCGAGTCAATGGCATCTCTCCCTACCTTTCTCTGGGGTTAGAATTCTGTTCCTGCTATAATTTTGGGCATGTCCATAAGGGTAGTTGAAACATAAAACAAAAAAGTTTATTATCCAACGAGTAAATCAAATCAGGGATAACGTACCGATGCAATAATGATTAACTTGCCAGCTCCAGAAGAACCACCAATAAGAGCAACAATCAAACTAGGTACTATGGCTAAACATCGGGTCAGGAAATTCCGAAGCCATGGTTTCAATCGCAGATCGAGGAAGCCCTATACTTGACAAAAGACATGAAACAAACTGGTCATCTAAAAATATGTCCATAGAGTCGAAGATTTCAATGAGTGAAAAAGACAACATATTTTGAAACGCCAAGTCATCTACATATTGGCCTATGAAAATGAAATTACAACTTGAAAGAATCGTTCATGAAAAGTGAAATTATAATATTCACTATTATGAATCACCTGCATAACATATTGGCCAGCATATGTTCCTGTAATTGTTGAACTCTGACCTGAGGCCAGCAAAGCAACTGCAAAAAGCTTTGAACTCCAACCACCTAACACATTCTGTGATTACCAGTTTACCACAAATCCCATAGTAAATCATCAGGATAGTTCGGATGAATAAACAATCAAATCTACAAGCAAATCAAAATAGTGAGCGTACTTTGAGTAGGAATGATGCTTTGTTCAAATCCAAGTCCTGGCACTTCTCCTTGTCTTCTGGATTCAAGTTGGGTGCGCCGCAAACTGCACCAGCTACAGATATAACCGACACATTTATAAGGAATGCTATGGCTAGGGCTAGTCCACTTTCTATCAAGTAAAATCTGCAAGCCTCCTGCATATAACACAAACCTCATCAGTTCTGTCAATTTCTTTATCTAAGGAATTGCAAAACTCCAACTTTGAATCAAATACTACATCACCTCAAACTCCAGCCCATATATTCATACCTTGATGCCTCGAACTGATTGTGGGATCTTCCTGGAAAGCACCAATGCAGAATGGAGAAACAGATTGTGCCTGCAACAAGAGGTATGGTACTAATGAACCTTCGGAAGCCCTTTAAAAGTTATAAGCTGGATTAGTTGGAAACCTACGGCATAACCATCGCTCCAAGAAGTGAAATCGCAAGACCAGCAGCACCATTTCCTTTGAGCTGAGGAACAAACAGACCTTTCACAACTTCGTCACCTGCAGGCTTCGCATAGCCCATCTCCGCGAAGAAACACCCGGCTATTGTAATTACAAGAAAAGCTATTAGGAATTCAAGCTTCCGTACCTACAAAAGGGCAAATACAATCAGAGTCAAATGATTATTATCATATTTAATCATTAATATTTGGATAAACTAAGAAGACAAGTTACCCCATATTGCTGTAATGCTAAGAGAACTAATGTACTCAGACCAGTGAGAAGGACTCCAATCCACACTGGTAGATTGAAGAGCATGTTCAACGCAAAGGCTGTGCCAATTACTGGAAAAAGAAAAGATAGCGATCAGTAGTGTTTAATGAAGTAAAAGATATATCAGTAATAAATATTTGTTTACGCTTTAATTCAAAAGACAAACAATGACCGACCTTCAGGGATGTCACATGCAACTATAGCTATCTCTGCAAGAACCCATAAGATAAAGTTTGGAACTCTTGGATATTCATTCCTACAGTGTTCTGCTAAATGTTTTTCTGCCATCAAATCAAGTATCAGAGATAAATAGCTGGGGTTAGTACGCATAACCTCAAATGAATAAAGAGTAACTTTCACATATTTAAATATTTGCATACTTGTGACAACCCCCAAGTTAGCTGCCAGAGACTGAATCACAAGAGCAGCACACGAAGCCAACAAAATGATCCAAAGAAGCTGCCACGATAGAAGACCAGAAATTTAATGCTGCACTTCCAGTTGCCAGATTACAGTATGTAACAGAATAACCATATGCCAAATTGCAAAATTTTACGACTAGCCGACTGCTGATTACTCAGGAAAATCTTCCCAAGCAATCCATGTTCACACAATGAAAATTGTCGGCATATAGATAAACTGCAAATATGCCGTCTTGGGAGGGAAAAAAAAAATAATATTGCAGAAGTCAGGCATAAGAATTTACCTCATACTTGTAACGTGCTCCTGACTGAAGATCCGTTTCAACTGAAATAAACATTCACCATTCAACTTAGTATTACTCGTACTAACCACTTAACTGAGGAAAATAAAAAGCAAGTTTAGACTGCTGGCCTTACAATTCCCCGGGTCAATGTACGCTATGGAAACAAGGAAGCCCGGACCCATGTAAGAAAACAAGTTTTTCCAGCTTTTCCTCTGCATAAACAAATCTAAATTAAGAATCTCCAGTCACGGCTTTCTCAGTTACTTGTAATAATATAGGTCACGGTAACACGCTGAGATATTAAGACCTCCGCCACATCAATCCTCCCACTGCTTGGAAACTACTTCCCCTGTAAGTCTCAAACTACATGACAAAACCAGTCTGGAGTGATCCATAATCAACTCCAAACTAAAAGTGTCTCATAGTATCTAAACTAACCACCTATTTTGATCACAACCTTCCATTAGAGGTACCCTTGGTGGATAAGGGATAGAAAGTTGCGACCATTGGTTCTCCAAATCAATGCATAAGTCAATTGTGGGACAGCAGAGAGAAAAAAAAATTGAATTTTTTTGATCATATGGTCCACCAGCTCGGTCCAACCCATGCATGGCATGATCGTCTACAAGAATCTACAAATGAAAGCGAAATAAAGATGGAAACCCAAAAGACAAAAAGGAAATACAAAGCATAAGCTGAAAAGAAGATGCTCCATGGGGAAACAGACACGCAGCTAAAGACAATTGATCATCCACTTCCTTTTGATAAGCTCCAGTTAATTAACTTTCAGAAAGCGCATCTATGAGGAGGGGAACTTTCAAAAGCTCCGGGATAGAAACAATATATAACTAAAAAGATGGGTGCCACATAGTGAGCTGCATAATGACGTTGGACTCCACTTCACAGTTGAACAAGCGAATGAAGGACAGTGAACGAAAAAAGGAACAGAAGAAAAAAAAAAGCAAAAAATGAAAGAAGCAGCAGCCAAACCAAAGGCCAGAACAAACACGAGCCAAAAATAAAAATAAAATCACTCTCATTTTCTCACTCAATCAAAACGTCGAACAGCTTATCTGCAAAACACTAATGCAGACCAATAATCGACGACCAAGAAACTGACTTTCAGAACAGCGAACTCCAAACTTACATCGGGTACGACGATTTGCTCCGGCTCTAAACTCTCAATGAGCGGAGAATCCGAGAAACTCCGGTTCCCTGTGCTGGCGATGAACTGCGGCTGCCCTGACCCTGAAATCGCCATCTCCCTCCCCCTCTACTTTCCTCAGCTCAGTCGATCCAAATGATACGAGTCGAGAGATTCAGAAATGGCGATTCTGCGGAGTGGGAAGGGAATGGAACAGGACCAAGCCTGAGCAGAGAAAATTGCGGGGAAAGCAGGGAGCCCAAGTTTTTCGAGATTCGCGGTTGGATTGGAGACCGTATTGGTCAGAATTAAAAAAGAAATAATCTTTTAGTTTTCAGAAATCTCACTTGGATACGGAAGTTTTTGTTTGTTTGCTGGGAGAAGGATTGCAGCGAATTTCGGGAGACAGCTTCTTTGTTGGTTTTGTGTTGTTAGTTCAGTTGTTCTGCTCACTTGGGTTGGGTTTTTCGCTTCTTTCGGCCAAGGTCTGAAGATTTTATAGTAGCAGAATCAAAAAGCAACCTGTACTTGCGATGAGTGGAGGGCCGTTGGATGAGTAGAAGCTAACTGTCCAGATTAATATACGGAATCAGGGGATTTTGTAAAAAGTTGTGTTATTGTTGTTACTAGATTTGGGTCCGCTCGTTGGTCGGATGCATTTCGTTAATGATATAAACCATAGCAATTGCAAGAAGTAATATATATTTTTATTTGTACCATATAAAATTCACCTTTTAAATTACTGAAATATAAGAAAGGAACATATGTCCAAAAAAATGCAACATTCTAACGGAGTCATTCATGAAAATTTGAAAATCGAAATCGCACACTTGCAATGGTGCACAAAAGCCAGCTCCTATAAAATTTATCTTGCTACACTTTATTTTACAAATCATTGCCAATTTTCTTTTAGACTCCCTTTAATTTTGTCCAGCCTAGTTGACCCATTGGAATTTGATAATGATCATTATGAAAATTTAAAATTTCTATTATGAATATTTTTTATGATTATTAATATTGTCTCGCAAAGTTACATTCTTTTCATGTTTAGGTGAGATGTATAAATAAATAAAAATATCAACAAAGTAAGATATTTTCTTAGCCGGGACTAATTACAAGGAAATCATTATCATAACATAGAGTTCTCCAACAATCAAATCTAGCCATCTATGAAAGTCCTTATTGAAATTAAAAACCAGAACTCTAATAAGGAAACCGACTGTTTACACAAAAATAAATTTATTAATTATCACATGTAGTATTTATGTATAATTGGGACACTTTAAGTAGTTTGCCCTAAAGTATATGTCCAACATGGCGACAGTACCAACTATGGTCAATGTTACCATTCATCCATCATAATGGATACCATCCAAATTCTATTATGGATGGTGAATGAAAAAATTGAAACAGTAAGCACAGCCCAAGTTCGTGGCTTAGACAATCAACCAGAATTGGTTGATGAGAAAGTTGGGTATCTGACAATTTCGATGAACACTCCACAAAGTCATATTAGTCAATTCAACTTGTCGTGCTTGATTGGTAAAAATGCTAAATAAGCCACATCTGCCAATGATGAAATTGGTTGTGGATTAGATAATGTCAATAATGAGTCATCCCCTGTTTTGGCATCAACACTGTTGCCAGAAGCAAGCAATTCAATTGTGTCTTTTCCTATGAACATCACTACTTGTAAGGGTACAAAAATTAGAGATTGCTTACGAAAGCCATTGCAAAGACGTATATGTAAACATGCTTGTAGAAAAATAAAAAATGAAATACATGGTATGCATACCATATGTGAGTTCATTGAAAAAGAGAAGCACAAGGAGGAACTTAATTGTAATGGTCCAGTTAAGCTGCCAGGGGGGCATGTCATCCCATTTCTTGGCAGGCGGAGACAAAAGCAATACTCTAGGTGGAAGAATAATTTCTCAAATTCCACCAAGTTAGGAGATGTTGCAATGATGGTTACCAAAAACACTTCTAAGCATTGGGATGGTGACCACGTGCAAAACTCCAAACTGACGAAGGTTGGTTTACTTCAACGTTATCCTTTACTTGACAATTTGCCAAAGTTTGCAACAAAAGGTCAAGTCAGTGTCCCAAAGTTTGGACAGGGGGGCATGTCATCAACCAATGAAGATGAATTGAGGGCATATCAGACAACTTCAAAAAAGTTCAACCTATGCATGGCATGGGTAAAAGTAAGAGCATGATAAAGAATAGATTGGGGGGCATGTCACCAACCACAAAAATTGGATTGGGGGGCATGTCAAACCATCTGCACTATGATAAAGCCACTCATGGCTTGCATGAATTTAAGAGTGTAGAAAATGATGGACAAGACCGTAGTATGTCAATCAAAAATGGTGGACATGGTGGCATGTACAAGAACTCTCAATATGCACCAACAAAAATTGGTAAAATAAAAGACCAAAAGTGATTGTGTGCTAAGTGTAGGAGTCAAAAAGAAGTTGGGTACTGGAAGAAAAAAGTGAGTCATGTAGGTGGTAGTGGACTTATAAAGTCTAAGGACCTATCCTCTCAAACTTATGGGAAGAGTATACATGAAGCAGTTTGGAGGAAACCAAGACAGAGATGGGCTCATGGTTTCCCTTCTAATTCAAAGGAATTGAGAATGCATGATGTACCTCATAGAGAAACTCACAACCATAATGGTCGATGTCAACAACCAAATGTACTAGTTGGGGTAACTCGAGTAGATAAGCAAGGGGCCACAAGCAAGGGTGTCAAAAATCATGCTGAAAACATGCATCCTAACATTAAGATAGATAATGTCACTCCAGTGGGTATATCTCCTTTGGAAGGAGGAAGTCAAGTGATGTATGGATGGCTTGTGTGGTTTGACCAGTGGAGTTGGCAATGGGTGTATACCTCTGGATCCTTAGTTACTGTTAAGGGCTATGGTGAATGGTGATACTTCCAGCTTGCCATAAAATATAAAATAAAATAGTGAACAAGCCATCCAAGTTGGTTTTTGAATGGTGTGAATCAAGTAAAAAGACACCATCCCAGTTGATGGATGAGAGCACCAATTTATAAGGGAAATCATTAGTGGTGTCCTTATAGGAGTGAGTTTCTTTTTGCTAGTAGGATATGGGTTATGAAGATGTGTCCTACATGAAAAAGAATTTGCATTCCTTATCAGAAAAGGAAAAAGCATTAATAAAGCCACGTTTTTTGGTGGCTTGACTATTTATAGATTCATTAATTAATATGGCTTTCTCATAAGCCTAGTAGAAGAAAGCCATGGGTGACTTGGCCATGAAGGAAGGAAACTCTTTATGTGATTGGGTGTTGTGCTAGCCACTGGTTGATTCGTGTGGTTTGGTACCTGGAGTACTTGAGGTCAACAACTTAGTTCATAATTTTTTTATGAACTAAGTTGCGGGGGGCAATTGTTTACACCAAAATAAATTTATTAATTATCACATGTAGTATTTATGTATAATTGGGACACTTTAAGTAGTTTGCCCTAAGGTATCTGTCCAACATGGCGACAATACCAACTATGGTCACTGTTACCATCCATCCATCATAATGGATACCATCCAAATCCTATTATGGATGGTGGTGCCCAAGCTCATGGATACCATCCAAATTCTATTATGGATGGTAGTGTCCAACATCAGGGATACCATCCAAATCCTATTATGGATGGTAGTGTCCGACATCAGGGATACCATCCAAATTCTATTATGGATGGTAGTGTCCGACAACATGGATACCATCCAAATCCTATATGGATGATAGTGTCTAACATCAGGATACCATCCAAATCCTATTATGGATGGTACCATCCCAAATATCATGGATACCATCCAAAGTACTAGCTGGATGGTACCATCCATGTTGAACTAGGATGACGTGGTGATATGTCTAGAGACTTCTTGGCGACAACTGGCTTGCGTAGAGGCTAAGCAGAGCTATTTTCGGGAGGAGGAGAGAGAGAAAGAGCAGTTGGAGGACTCTACGCAACAAAACTGGGAGCAAACTTCTGGAACAGGAAGACAATCACAACTCAACACAAAGACAACTTGTCTCGGCTGTCCCTTTTTCCTTTTTCTCTGTAGTTTGCGGAGCTCTCCTCCACGAAGGATCCTCCATAGCAGTAGTCTTAGTTGTAGTCGCGGAGCTCTCAAGGAATATCCATAGGAGTAGTGTAAGGTAACATAGATTCCCCTTATACTAAACACCCTCGTTCGAACAGTGTTTGAAGATGTGTGGACTGTAGTAACAATCGTCACCTTCATAGAAGTCAGGCGCAACCCATCCACTCTTTTTTCCACCTGAAACACCGACTCCTAAAAACACCTAATCAAACAACATTTCATTTCATTATGTGTTGTCACTCATTTGAGTAAGTTCAATTTTGACTACTTTCTCTCGATGCTCTGATCGATTCAAAGGAACCCTCTATAAAGCATCAACGTATGGAATACTCTAGTTCGTCGACGACATTGCAACCGCAGCTTCTCCCAGTCCCATCGCCTCTGTTTGTGATTGTTGGTTTAAAAGTTCTGCTCAATTTAAATTTCAATTCACTCGAATCAAGCTTGTCCAAGTAGTGCCAAGTAGTGGCTTTAACCTAGAGCTAGTTCGAGGGTTGTTGTTGCCAATGCTTTCCAACAATTTTCTTCATCTAGACGCTGGATGCATTGCATGAAAATGTGGGTGAGAAAATGTGGTTGTATATTTTTTATTTTATATATTTAGTAATAATGATTAATTAAAATTAATAAATCTCCACCTGAGGTTGATACAGTCAAACAATTGACTTTTTCCCATTTCAGCATGAATTGACTACTTAGAGTTAACTGTTGTTTGACCCGATATAAAGTTAAAGATCTGGCTGTTATATTATTTTTTTGGAAGATTTTATTATTATTTTGTTTAAAATCAAACATTTTCCTATTATATTGCTGTAGTCCATCAAAATACTCAACACACAGTCAATATTTTCTTAATAATTAATGGAAGAAATATATATTGTTGATTTAACACGTTTAATCAATTATTATAGTTTTTGTTATGTCTATTATAGGTTTATGTTGAAAATTTTCTGCATATATCATATACCCATTAATGACTAT